TGAGATGCCATAAAGGCAAGTTACAACATGCCCATGTCCAGTGTGTCCATACTCTCAGGAGGCTGCATTTCATACATTTACCACCTTCACAAGATGGCCGAGTGGCTGGGGGTGCATGGGCAGCATCGGGCTTGTGTGGGATCAGCTGGCTGCATGACCTGACTCTTAGCTGACATTCTGCATGTCTTAAAGCAATTTGAACAGAAAATGTACTTCAAACTCAGCTGTGTTTCTTTCCCTTTTTTTCTTTTAAAGGTTCATGTCAATTTGCTTCTTATAGAAGCCCGGATGCAGGCAGAACTGCTTTATGCTCTGAGAGCCATTACTCGCTACATGACCTGAAATCTCTGGCTAATGATGATGAAGGTGCTGCCTACCATGGGATGCTAATGAGCTTAGACTCAATGGTGGCTGAAAGCGACAAGAGCCATTGTGCCATAACTCTTTTTAGTCCCAGCTCATTCCTCCAGGAAATATCACTGCTCTTGCTGAGCTTTGGTAGGAGGAGACAACGTTATTCAGAAGGGTTCCCTGATTGCTATGACCTCCTCCCATTAGCACGGGGAACTGTGGTTTGTGACAAACAAGTAGTTAATTGCTTAAATCTTGGAATTGTCACAAACAGATACATTCTGAAGCACAAGGAGCATTTAAGGGGGCTTCTGCTTTTGATAAAAAATGATTATTATTTTTTTTAAGAAAAGACCTGATGCTGCTGTATGTGGTGGTGAATTGAAGAGATCAGTGATTCCAATTAAGCTACAAGTGAAAGCAAGCAAAGCTATTGTCTGAGCCTTTATTTTCTATGTATTAAGCTCCTTGCTAGTAACTAGAAATGGAACTGTATTCCACACTGCCTGTTTGAATTGTGACAAAAATTTCTTGCTATTGTTGAGCTGCATGCTAAACAAATAGCTGCTGGCCTGGACTTGTTCACAGTAGTGTGGTATAATCAGTTGAGAGAGAGTGAACTTTCAAAGCTGCTTAAGAAAGAATAGTAAAAGAATAGAATAATGTCCTGTTTCCCCTCCCATTGTTCCTGGGAGCCTTCTGAGGTGTGCAAATGTTAAGTTGGAATTTAAGCAGCATCTCAATACCTTGCTTACTCATGGCTGTGGTCTATCATTTAGCAGTGGCTTATGTAGTCAAGCAGAAAAAATATATAACAGCAACAGATTAAGTTTGGTATACAGCTGTTCTTGGAAACTATATGGACACTTTTGTATGAGCGTAAATTGTTCTGAAATCTGTCAGTATTACTGAATTGTTTAAATAAAACATTTTCTCTCTTATTTGACCTCTCAATTCTTGGAGTGATATCAGTAATTAAAAATAGTTCTGAGACTGGTGTCGGTCTCTCAACATGTACACTTGTGCTTTGCATTAAAAAGAAAAAACAAAAGGCTAAACTGCAACCCTTTACAGTTTAACAGGAAGCATCTGCTGTTTCCTCCAGTTAAAAATGCAAGCCTGATCCAAAAGTAAGCGGCTACATACACAGTTCTTAAGGTGATTTTGCAAAGTACCCTCTTCTTTTACTATGAAAGCTGTGCTTTTTGTAATTTTTTGTAAGCCATCTAGGGTTTTGTCCTGGGCGAGAAGTGGATATAAAATCAAATATATTAAACAATCCCTGTCTACTGGCTGACATCATGTTAGTGAGTTTTGATAAAGTAGTCCCAGTTTGTGTTGTCATAACCCACCTTTTTAGGGTGTTGCTAAGGTCACAATTCTTTACAGATCAGGCAACCAAAACCAAGTCGATGTCCAGCGAGAGAGGATTGGTGCTATATTGATGCTGCAAATTCACAGTCTGTATATTCTAAAGTGTGGGATAGCAGTTTTCAAAATTTCCTTAGACTACAACGTTTTTCTTGGTAAGGCTAGAACAGGCTGAATCTGAAGAGGAAAAACAAATATCTGCACCATTAAATAAAAATCTAGTGGGTATGTTGCCTGCCTTTCTTGACACACTGTCAAAAATGCAAGTGTGTGTGTGTTAAAATTGCCAGTTTAGCTGGAATCTATTGGAAAAGAAAACAATGTTTGGAGGAGGTGCTAAATAGTGAATTTTTAAAAAATGAAATCTTTATCTGGATCTCCAGGAGGTATTGTAGTAAAGTTACAAAAAGCAAATACTAAGTAAGAGCCATTCAGTGTTGCCTATCCCCAACATGTAGGGTGCAGTGATTCAGACGTTCCTTATAAAAACATCCTAGACAAGAAGATATATAGACATTCTGCATTCAAACAATAGCCACATTGACATGGAGCTTGCCCCTGGTGGGATAGCTGATTGATTCAGACTTTTTTTTTTTGTTAATTACCCTGGAATATATCTCAGGAAAGCCAGATGGGCACGTACACATACTGTTGGTTCATTTGCCTCAGTTGGGAGGTTTTTCCACCCAAAATCCATATAAAAGACAGCTGGGCATCAAGATTATTCATTTGAGTTCCAGGTCTTCTTGCAGCTTCTGTTTCTGCTAGAAGCTCCTTATCTTAGCTATTGAATACTTCCTGCTGGCTAGCTCCATTTTATACTGATTTTTTTCTCCCTCTCTTTCACCACTTCCCAAGAATCTGCCAATTATGACAGAAGATCTCATTAGTTTATTCTGAAGTCCTGGTTCTAGTCCTAAGGACTTTGGTTGCCTTGTTCTCCTCCAAAATCTTCAATGAAGCCTCTTTTCTTTCATATTCCAACCAGAGTCACAACACTTTCCATCAAAAAAATTTCAAGAAAGGTAATCCATCCACCCTTTCATTGTGAAGCAACTGGACACACTGACTAATTTTTTGGACCTGTTGTTTACTACTTTTGAAGCCTCTTTATAATATTTTCAGATCCGCAATGCAAGTTGTTTTGATTGCCATTTATGTAATAAAATTGTCCTGTGGCTATGTGTTGTTAGGTTCAATGTGCAATGCTGTCAACAATCTCTTAGAAGAACAAGTATGGGTTCTTAACATGTGCTCTGAGAGCACAACTGCTAAGTACTGCTTACTGCTGAAATTGAGAGGGTAGTTCCACTAGTGTCTAGAAGTAGGGAATGAACAACTGAAGTAAACAGTGTCATGACAGGATTGTGATAGAACCTAGTCCCCTCACAGTACAGGAAAGGCACCAATCTGAATAAGTGTACTACTGCTGCACTGGCCAGAAAAGAGAGGGGCACTGAAAACAGGTGAAGCAGAACTTGTGAACAGTGGCCATGTACATTAACTGGAGCAGTGGGAAATTCCAGAATGTTCTTCAGTGTGTGAACTCTGCATTCAAATGAAATTTGACTAACATCTACAACTTAATGGCAAATAGTCCAGAGTTACTACTCAGGAAATATTATTATGCTACTTCTGAGCTAAAAGTTGTGAGAGATGACGAATAGTTACTATTTACTCAACTTAAGCCACATTATCATATGATCCATGTATGATTCCACAGCAAGCTGGTTTCAAGAAAGGGAAAAGCTGCACATCACAAGTATTGAACCTGACTCAGCACATAGAAGATGGTTTTGAAAGGCAGCAGATTACAGGAGCTGCCTTCATAGACTTGTCAGAAGCTTATGATACTGTAAATCAGCACCTTCTCCTGAGAAAAAAACCTATAATATCACAAAGGATTACCACCTTGCCTGCTACATAGAAATCTGTTACTAAACAAGGTTTGTTGAGTTCCAGGGTCAGAAAAGCAAATGGCAAAAAAGAAGAATGGTCTGCCTGAGGGGAGCGTACTTGCTCCATCAATGTTTAACATTTACACAAATGACCAGCCATTGCCAGAAGGGACAGAGTTTCATCTATGCTGACGATCATGCCATCATCGCTCAAGAAGGGAGCTTTGAAATGGTTGAACAGAAGCTCTCCGAAGCTTTAGCTGCTCTTACTGCCTATTACAGGGAAAACCAGCTGATTCCTAATCCATCTAAAATGCAGACATGTGCTTTTCATCTTAAGAACAGACAAGCATCCCGAGTTCTGAGGATTACCTGGGAAGGAATCCCACTGGAGCATTGCAGTGCACCCAAATACCTGGCAGTTACCCTGGACTGTGTTCTGATTCACAAGAAGCACTGCTTGATTATCAAGCAAAAAGTGGGTGCAAGAAATATCATACGAAAGCTGACTGGCACAACTTAGGGATCACAAGCATAAACAGCGAAGACATATCCCCTTGTGCTTTGCTACTCTGCTGCTTAGTATGCATGACTAGTGGATGTGGCTCTTAATGAGACATGCTGCATTATCACAGGATGCCTACGCCCCACACCGCTGGAGAAATTATACTGTTTAGCTGGTATTGCACCACCTGATATCCATTGGGAAGTAGCAGCCAGTAATGAAAGGACCAGACATCTCCAGCTCAGCCCATGTATGGATATCAGCCAGCATTCCAATACCTTAAATCAAGAAATGGGTTCCTAAGATCTACAGAGATACTTGCAGGAAGACCTCAGCAAACAAGAGTCCAAAAGTGGCAAGTTAAAACCCAGAACCTCAATCAGTGGCTGATACTGGATGGGAAACTCTTCTGGGCACACAGAAGACTAAGCAACTTGGAAGATGCTGAACAGATTGTGCTCTGGTTCTACAAGATGCAGATCCAATCTTAAGAAATGGAGCCACAAAGTGGAGACCACAGCATGTATGTGTGGAAAACAACAAACCACAGACCACCTACAACCTGAGCCCTGCCACATGCACAATGGAAGATCTTATTACAGCAACAACAAAGCACCTCAAGTGGTCAGCTTCTGGTCAAAGGAAATTTAGTATAATGACAAGTTTTTAACTTTGTTTGTGGTTTTTTTGCACATTATAACTGTATTCTCAATTCATCTCTGACATAATAAATAAATAAATAAATAAATCATATGAGCAACATATGGCAATGTGCCAGTTCAATTGGACAAAACAATAGTCTGCCTATCATTTGATAACCATATTCTACAGCCCTAGGACAGATTTTTATATAGGCTTTTCAAAAAGGAACTTGATCCAGATGCTGTAGTTGGTTTATTTTTATAACCCCTAAATGCCAGTGGAAAACTAAGAAAACGTATTCTACAATGTACAAGCTACATACAAAAATAATCTACTTAGACATTTTCTATGGAAACAGCATGTTCAAATGCTCTGATGCCAAACAACTTACATAATAGACACTGTCGTGTCCTTTATATGGATAGTCTCAACACCCACCTTAAAATCAAGTAACAGTTCATGAGCGCAACTAAAAAAAATCAGTTTTGAATTTTCTGAAGTAGCTTCTGTGCCACAGGTTTGAACTCTGTTTCCCAATAAAGTTTGTGATAATCTCTTAAATCGTTGTCAAAATTGTGATCCAGGGCCAATTCTTCATCTGCAGTGAAAGGGGCAATGTCTATATTAGTAAATAATGAACAAATGATTACTAAATTTCAGTTTGTTAACCTGGTACCTATTAAACATGCCCCCGCCCAACACAGGGCTGCTTCTAGTATGAGTAGGTAAAAATGAAGGAAAGTTGTATCTAATTTTAACAATTCTTTTCATTGTTCTTGTATAGACACAGCCCGACATCACTTTATAGATCTGCATATAATATAAACTACCATCCTCGTTCTCTTAGCCTCATGACCTGGAGCAGGGTCTCAGGCCCCTTCCACACAGCTCAATAAAATCCCACATTATCTGCGTTGAACTGGGATATGTAGTATATAGAAGTGTGGACTCAGATAACCCAGTTCAAAGCAGATATTATGGGTTATTCTGCCTTGATATTCTGGGTTATATGGCTGTGTATATGAGCCCTCAGACAGTCAAGAAGACCTTCAATCTCTTGTTAATTAGGCTATCACTCGGTGGCTTGTAAAATTGTTAACAAATGCAATTTTAGTTGTGTTTAGAACAAAATGTATTGGTTCTAAGTCCAGCCCAAAGCTAGAAGACTGGAGGTGCTTCTGCACTGTAGTATTAATTCAGGTTGACCTTAGGTCTATTCAGTGTAATCATAGAATCATAGTTTGGACAGGCACCAGCACCCTTTGACAGAGAAGGCTAAAGACCCTGAAAAACTACAACTCCCACAATTCTATAGCATTGAGCTATGGTAATAGGGTAAAACTGCATTAATTCTACTAAGTGCAAGTATAAAGAGAAGGGATGACAACATAATTATGAAATGTGTACAGTAATAGTACACATTTCATAATTATTCTAGTCAACATAGAGTGCTATCTCTTGAATCGGTCATAAGATCAGCTGAATTTTTAAAACTCTGGCAGAATTTCCCCCTTCCATTCCCTGCTGTGTTAATTTACTCTAGGCAGCGGGGTAACTAATTCATGTCTATTTGCCAGCATTGAAACTCATACACAAGTCCTTAAAATGCTGTGTTATCTAACAGGAGGATCACTGAGTATGCTGGCACCTGCTTCCCTCTACCTTCCCCAGCTGTGTGGGGCGTAGGCCAATGGTAGAACTGCAGTTTGCAATGGGTGGATGTGAGGTGCCCACCCGTTTGGATTTCCCACTGTATCCTAAGGGAGATATTTTCTGTTGCATTGTGCATCACTTGCCTCACCGATTGGGATTCTGAACAAAGGGGTATTATTGTTGCTAACAGTGACAAATGTATCTATTATGAATTTGTCTCATGACATTTTAAAGCAATTTTAACCAAAAAGCCACCTTATGCTAGTGGCCATTACTATATCACATAACAGCAAATTCCACACATTAAATACAAATTTTGTGAAGTACTTCCATTTACTTTCAATAGATATTTCCCAAGGATTTTTTAAAATTATGTAAGTGGGAAGAAAAAGTATCTTGCTCAATTCAATATTTTATTAATGTCTCTTTAGTAGATCAACCATCCCATAAAGTTGATTTAAAAAAAAACATTGTGGCTTTTCTACCTAGAAAAAGTACTTTAGTTACTCTGTAATTTCAGTCATTCTTTTCTGAGGTACAACAACATGACTGTCTTGGGACAAAGTAGAACGATAAACAGCATTGCAAACATGGCTGCAGTTGAGGGGAACTTTATCTGCAAGGAGATGGGGAAGAAGGGAATTGATATACTGCAAAAGCAGCTGTGAAGGGCTGCAGAACAGTCGTGCATGAACAATGCTCAAAATGCCCTTAGGGGAAGAGAACATAGCTCGGTTACAGAACCAGTATTTCCTTTTTAAAAAAAATAATGCAAGATTGGTGGGAAGTGACCACTTCCTGGAGAGTAGAAAGTCAATGCAAGCCAAAGCAGTCTACCTTAATACAAGACAGCTTCTTGCGTGTCTTGTATTTCTTATGAGTAAGAAATAGTAAGATCAGCCTTAAAAGCTTACCTAAAAATGATGTAAGGAGACCTAGCAAAGTATCTGAATCATGATCTTCAAAGCATGGCTGAGCACTTGTAAAACTCTCACTATAGTTCCACAAAGTTTTGCATATTAAACAAGCAAGCTGCCAGTCCATAGGCCCAAAGTGTCTTAAACAGTCAATTAACCTGTGCAATGATGGAGAAAAGGTAAAGCATTTTAACATGTTTGCCTTTCTGTAGTTGTCACTATTACCCAGCAGAGCTGGGATCTCTTTGTGAAACACTTTTAATTACTATTATGATTATGATTACAGTAGAGTCTCGCTTATCCAACGTTCATTATGCAATTATGCAACATAGTGTGCCTCCTGTCCAGATCCACAGTTGTTTCAATACACTGCAATGTTGTGGTGTTAAAATCGTAAATACAGTAATTACTACAAAATATTAATGTGTATTGAACTGCTTTTTCTGTTGATTTGTGGTAAAGCATGATGTTTTGCTATTTAATTTGTAAAATCGTAACATAATTTTATGTTTAATAGGCTTTTCCTTAATCCCTTCTTATTATCCAACATTTTCGCTTATCCAATGTTCTGCCGGCCCAATTTATATTGGATAAGCAAGGCTCTACTGTATTATCATTTATATCCCGCTTTATCTCTCCCAAAGGAGACTCAACACGGCTTAACGAAAAAGCATTAACATACAATTTAAAATATACAAATATGCAAACTTTAAAACAGGACTAAACACACGGTATTTTTAAAATCCCAGTTAAAAACCATGAAAACATATCCAAAGTTTTAATGGTAGGAAGCCATTAAAATAGCGCAAGGAGATTAAAGGGGAAAAAAAAGAAATGAAAATGGCAATAGCCTCTTCCCCTATATGTACATCATCAGTAAAAATCAGCCAAGCCACTCACTCAGGTTTCCTGAACTCACTTTTTAATTCCTCCTCCTTCGTTCAATATACTACGCCTGCTTTTATCCACAGTAAGGTTGAGGAGAACTCCGCAGGCCGAAAAGCAGACCTCTTGGTGTTTGGCATCAAGCAAAGCAATCATGAATTTGTACACTAAGACAGCACAACAACAAATAATTATTTTACAGGATAAACCTACCTTTTAGTAGCTCTTTCACAGAGCTCATTAAATCAAATAAGCTTAGAATGTGAAGCATCTTCACTATAAGAAAAGTATTATAGTGTATATGCTTAGAAAATGTTAGAAGTTGCAGAGGCAGCATTCAAAGGTGATTTATCCTTGTGGCAAGCAAAGTGAAGCCCTCCCCAAGGATGTTTGTGTGAGCCTCGGCATTTCCAAAATCTCCGAACAGAATATTGTTTTCTGATCCAAAAAAGAAGGTGAATTGCTGTTCCTGGAAGTCTCCAGTTGCAATCATTTATATTTTAAATGGGTTGAAAGGTGTGCCTGCACTGTTTGACATAAAAATATCAATTTCTGAGAACCAGAAATAGAATTCTGGTCACTTCGAGGGTTTTTTTATTTTTTATTTTCCACTCAGCCCCAGAGGGTCCAGCTGACCCTGACTTCAATGCAAGTGTAGGGCAATATGATCATAACATGAGTTATTTAGCTTCTTTACCATAATAACTATAACAATGTGTTTTAATTTAATATATTTTAATTTGTAATAATTTTTTTATGTTTGTTTTAAGGCATTGAATGGTTGCCTATATGTATGCCTCCATGAGCCCCCTTTGGGTTTGAGAAAGGCAGGGCATAAATAGGGTAAATAATACATAAATAAATTTTATTCACAGATCAGTCACACTTACACTGAGATATCTTCTCTGCTTACGTCTTTACCTACATCCTCACTAGTTTCATAACAAGAAATGTAATCAAGTCTTCCTGAAATTCTAGCAATTTTAGTCTTTTTCAATTCATAGTCATGGAGATTTGTCATAAACACTTCTGGTCAAGTCAACTACTCAGACACCACAGATAATATTGCTAGACTTGGGGACAGAGGTGGAGAAGACCAGTATACATTACCATTCATATCCTCTTACAGTAGGTGTCTGTGCTTTCATATACATTGTATTTTCAGGCCCCTTAAAATATGAGCAGACAACATTGTGTGTTTATGGGATTAATATTAGTTTATATAGCTAGGTCACTTGAAGGGAGCCAATGTGGTGTAGTGGTTTGATCACTGGACTATAGCTGGACATCAGGGTTCAAATCCTTGTTCAGCTATGGAAGCCCACTGGGTGAACTTGGCCAAGGCCCCTTCCACACAGCTGAATAAAATCCCTTTGAACTGGAATATATGGCAGTGTTGACTCAGATAATCCAGTTCAAAGCAGATATTGTGAGATTTTCCATCTTGATATTCTGGATTATATGGCTGTGTGGAAGGGCCCGAAGCCACACCTTCAAAGCCCCAATGGAATGCAATGGAAAACATTCTCTGAAGAATTATTGGCAAGAGAACCCCATGATAAGTTTATCTTTAAGGTAGTCATAAGTTTGTTTCTTAAAAAATGCAATACAACTGTTTGGTTTGCTCCTGACACGATAAATAAAATAAGTTAGAAATAACTTTAAGGAACATAGCTAGTCACTTGCAATGGATAGGAACTTACCCTTTCGCTGCATAATGAAGTCACAAACTTCATGGCATTGAGAAAGATTACCAAAGACTCGAATCGCCTCCAGAATTCCATCCATATTATTGCTCATTAACAGCTTTAAAAGCACTGTGATTCAATAGAAAAGTGGGGGGAATAGATTTAGTATAGTGGAAGAAATCCCTCCAAACAGACAAACAACAAGAAAAAGTACTAGCAAATGTATGGACAGTTATACCAGAGTCTTAGTCAAGTATTTTCTACAAGTTTAAGAATAGTCACTGCCTAATATGGGTGGAGGTCAAGCAATGGTGGACATGCTCCTCAGCTCTGAAGGCATGCAGATGCCCCCCCCCCCCCCCCCGCCCCGGTGGGCTCCATCTATCCATCTTTACTGGAAAAGATGTCAGGTGTGCCCTTGAGTTTGGCCATATCTGGGGTCCTTGGATTGTTTCACCCCCCCCCCCAAGAGGGGGCTTTTTTTCAAAATAGGAAGTGATCAGAAGTGATTTACAGGGTTTAGGGGGAACTCCCCCCCCCCTTGTGAGAAACCATTGCCATCTGCTCTCTGTACCATTTATGAGAATGTGGAACAACAAGAAGAATCAGTAATGTTCAGAGGAACTGTTGAAAAGAAACTTCTTTGTCTTAAGACACTTAAGTCATACAAAGATTTTAATTTCTGGCCGTGAAACATGTGAATTTGGGGTGTGCTAGTAAGCCAAAAAGCAACTGTGCACACAATCTGCTCTGTGGGAGTTACGCTTTGGGCATTAAAAATATTCCTCTGTTTTCAAGGTCTTGCTGCCCACATTTGCCACACAACTAACATATTGAGTGTGGGAAGCTGTCAGCTGGATGTGCCTTACAACAAATCACTAGATGGCTCTTTGGACAAGGAGGTTACTCCAACTTCTTTGACATGCCAAAAGATGTTGAGTCCGTTAAGCACACTGTGGTGTAGCACATGACAGCCTTTCATGATAATATCTGCCCTTAGAGGAAAAACGGTGCAGCCATCGCTTTTGATCTAACACCACACTTTCCTTCATCTTTTTGATCTTATTTTAAAAGATCTAAGTATAAAATATAAGACGGAATCATAAGGCACGCATTTCACTTTGGCTTGCTGTTCTGATGTTTTCTTCCCTGCTGCCATCAACTTCTTAGTTCCTTCCTCTTCTGTCATCCTCTTCTAATCCTACTATGGGTCCTTACAAACAGATGAGCCTGAAATGACCCTAGGTAGTTAGTTGATTAAAAAGACTTCACAACCCTTCTATATTTGCTTTTATTTGAGATTAAATTTGTCCTCTGATTGCTGGATTTTTCAAAGCTACATTGCTACTGGGAGTAACAAACTCACTGTTGGACTGCAGCACTGTGTCTGCAATACACAAGACATTAAAGCTTATGTTGGGGGAGGAAGATATTCTGCTCTAGCTGGTCTTGATATGGTTGTGTGTGCCTACCTACAAGAGGCAAAGGAAACAGCTGCCACCTCCAGAATCCATTACTGATTGTGCTTTAACAGCTACAAATTCACAACAAAGGAAATGAAGTAGGCCTGTGTCATCAGCAAAGCCAGCAAACTAGAAAAACAAAAGACCTAGAATTGTGGCCTCCAAAATGGAAATCATAAGAAAATACAAAAATGATCTCTGGATGCATTTTGGAAGAAGCTTGCAAGTGGTCTTAAATAGATTCAAAACGTTTTGGTTTACTTATCTGAGGCTTACCTAACCTGGTTGCTTCAGTTCACACATAGAAATTAATAGATTTAAGTAAAAAGTTTACTGAAACCTATTGAACTACCCTTCTATTTTGTACCGTTGTTACCTTTCCCTATCCTTTCCATGTTACTTCTAGTTCTGTTATCAATTTTCTTTGTTAAAGAAATAATGCCCAAAAATACTTCTCCTTTAACTGAGGTATGTATGTAAATAATCTCTCTCTTTTTTGGTTAATGGTAGTGTTATTTTTCACTCGGTTGCTCAACCTTCTGAGAAAATACTGGCTTTTATTATACAGTGTAAAAATGAGAGAATGATTAATTTGTTTTTTAAAAAATCCTTACACTCTGCAATATATAATTTCTTTTCCTGGATTACAGAGCCATGCACTTGGTAGAAGGATAAATTGTTGATCGTTGCTGTGGTATTAATAACCAGTTCCTCACATTCATCCACTGATTTGCTTTCTGGTGATTTAGAAAAGAAGATATAAGGCTTTTGTCAAAGCACTGACAATTTCTGAAGGTTATCATAATTTCAGTGATTACTATAATACATAAAAGAGAAGCACAGAATGAGCTGTTGTTAACCAGCAACTGAAAACATATTTTGCAAGATTATATTTTGACTTCAGTCTTGTTGCTTTGAGCCATTTCAATTCTCCACTGGCTCTGTTTTCCCCCAATGAGTTGTGCATAACTGCTTGGTCTCCCTGCTGAAACCTGAAACTTTAGCACAACCATCTCAATAAGCAATATGCAGCCAGACTTATGAAAATTTGCAGGGCAAAAAAGAGATACTTTTAAGAGATCTCAAAACCAAACCTATTAATAATTACTGATCACTTGATTATACTTCTTGGTCTAAAGAGCCTCAGATTTACATGTATTAAAACTGGGACCATATTCTTAAAACGTGGTCTAAAACTACTGTTTTTGTGGGGCCTGGCAATCTTGCTTCACATGCTAGGGATCTAATGTACCACAAGAGTGGAAGAAGAGCACATATCTCATCACAAACTCACTCTGTGGCTTTAGGCAACTCTATCTGTGCCTCAGTTCTTCTATTTGCATTGCAAAACTGCTATGAGGTTTACATGTAAATAAAAGCTTGTGCTTTTAATATTTGGATCTTAAATCAAAATTATTATAAATACCCCAATCTAAAAGTAAGTTCCAAGTTCCATCTTAGTGATTTACTATCTCTGCTACTTTCCAAATATTATTTATTTCAACAGTAGAGGCAGAATGTCAAGCACAAAGGGGACTGCTTAATTTGCAAAGATGGTGCTTTGGCTTCTCAGGGTAGGAAACGGAGTTGACAAAAGAATACATGACATGACTGTGTGGGCAAGTTCTTTTTTTCCCTCTGGAAATGGATGTTACGTTTTAGGTGGAAAATAATCTAGTCTGCTGCCCATCATGGTGTAGTGGCTTCAGCATTAGACTACAACTCTGGAGACCACAGTTTAAATCCCTGCTCAGCCATGGAAACCCCATGATAGGTTCACTATAAGCAAATTCAGGTAGGGATGATGATAATACATGGCAGTGACCAGGACTGTTACAGAAGGGAAATAAGATATTGGTTCTATTCCATTAATATTAGCCAACTGAGTCCAACACTTTAGCACTTCAGACTTTGGTTTACATTCAGACATGAGATTTTGATGTTCACAATTTTACTATGGAAAAACAGATAAAACAATCTCCTGCATTCTGCTGATGATAGAATGGAAAAAATATTCTTACCTAGTACTTTAATAAGTAATGCCACAACCTGAGGATTAGATGCCAGGCTTGCACCTACACTAGGATGAATAGACAAATTGGCAATTACTCTTATAAGTTTAATGAGGACATCTTCTGCTTCAGATGGGTGCTTGAGTTTTTTTAATTCACCACTGTCATTCCACAGTTTACTGTTAGCATCAGCGTCACAATGATATTGAAACAGCGCTATGAGGGTGTCAATGCTCCCTTGCACTTCAAAAAACGCTTCCCGGGCTTGATTGTTCTTCGCTGTTAAATTGCCCAAAATGAAAATGATACGAACAACTAAATCCTAGAAGTAAAATAAAAAGGAAAACAAATCTGCTGTATGTTAAGGTGGACAATTCTTTACAAAAAGAAAACATTTTAACAATATCTTATTAAAATCAATTACATTTCAAAATGAGGGAATATCCAGCAAAAAAATAGAATTTTGCTTGTGTCACACGTTCCGTATTTGAGCAAAGGTATGCCAGAATATCTCTTAAAGTACAGCCTATCTAAATTCCTCTAATGCATTTTAGTGAATAATATAATAAATACTACAGTCAACTATACATCTGGCAGTTATTTAACTATTATCTGCTTCTCGCTGCATTGTTTTGCCTGTGATACAAAGAAGGAATGTAAACATAATTCCAGTAATTTAAATGAGGAATTATTGAGCTTGTGCTTACCCCTCCTTGTGGATCCAAGGCCATGTGAAACATTGTTTGTCTTATGCTCACTGTCCCTTTAAAATGTTACTATTTTTATTGAAATCAGTGGGATTTAATTTCACACACCTCCATATTATACATTTGGAGACCTTACAACTCCCTGAAAGCAACAATGGCACTAACTCCATGTCTGTTTTTATATCAACTCTTCTGGGAAGCAAAACAAAACCAGGGTAGGCTGTGCTTTGTTTTAAAAGAGAATCATAGCTCCTGGTACTTCACCAGATGATAAGAGTTGAAACTTAACCAGATAAGTGAGTATTAACAAGCTAAGTGAGCTAGGAAGATTGAATTGTGAATTATTCCAAAGTACGAAAACCATATGTTCTCATACATATCCAGCAGAACATCTGGTTTCTGTATTTTTGTATTCTAACTCTTTTGAAAATCTCTATTAGGATCTTAATCCTAAAACATTTGTGCTATAATTATAAACATATTTATCCTGAACTCAGGTTCAATGGTCTCAGACCACTTCCTTTAAATACGTTATTCTTAGTGCTGCATATAAACACCAAGTAGGCCAGCCTAGAATCAGCAACATTAACAAGGGGAAAGAGTCACTCGCTATGATTGTTTGGATTGGCCACCACACAGGGTGCCTGACAGTGTGAAACTTTACAAACTTCGCTTTCTAAACGGCAAAGCAATCCATACCGAAAATGTGGAAGAAGCATCAGGCACAATCATATTGACATGGAAATATATTTTACTGAAATTGGTAGTGCTTTAAACGAATATATATGTCACAAAACAGCTTTTCGTATAGATTTTTGGTGTTACCATAAACACTTTTTTTTGACATAATTAAAAGAAATAGGAGCTAGTAAATATTCTTGATGTTCTCAGTGCAATTTCTGAAGAAAAGCCATCATCATCATCATTATTAGTATTATCATCTTTATTTATATTCTTATTTTCTCCCAAGACTAGGACTCAAGATAGCTTACCCATTCATAAGATTACAATTACAACATATAAAAGGTTGGCACTAAAACCAAGCTAATCTAATCGTGACCGCATCTCCTACCACCAATCTGCACGATCCCTCCGATTTTCTGAGGAGGCCCTCTTTTTGCCCCTTCCTCTATCACAGGCAAGACTTGTGGGAACGAGGGAGAGGACCTTCTCTGCTGTGGCCTTCTGACTTTGGGACTCACTACCTGGTGAGATCAGGCAAGCCCCCACCTTAGCAGCCGTCAAGAAAAAAATTGAAAACTAGGCTCTTCCGATGTGCCTTTGGAGAGTGACCATTTATCCCATTTCTGTTTTCTCCATCTACCGTGTTGCCTCTATGACGCACTTCCCCTCCATCCTAAACTGAAAACCTAATCCCACTGTTCATCCTTGTTGGACTCCTCTCAATTATACTTTTTTATATTCCTACCTCATCCAGGGTTTTATCATTTTACCTCATCCATTTGGCTTGCCCGTTGTGTTCGATTTTATATTATGTTAATTTGCTTTATTTATTTTATTTTGCTTTTGTATGTATTTAATTCTGATGTAATTTTTGTTGTCTGCATTTTTTATAAATTTTATTCAGCTGTATTGTATCTTGGGGCTTGGCCTCATGTTAGCCGCCTGAGTCCCTTTCGGGAAGATGCTGGCGGGGTATAAATAAAGTTTATTGCTGTGGTTGTTGTTGTTATTAAAATCTATTAATATTATTAAAAACATACACGGTATGAAGATTTTAAAATGTTAAACAATTCAGTTTAGCCTGCTGTCGAAGGCTTTCAGGCTGGAATCACTGGGTTGATGTGAGTTTTCTGGGCTGTGAGTTTTCCAAACATGGTCATACAGCCCGGAAAACTCACAGCAACCCAATTCAGTTTAGAACAATACACTGCTTAGAGCCCTTTAGTAAGGCCTTAAATTCTAAAAGCCTGTCCAAATAAAAGCCTTCACCTGTTTTCCACCTTCTTTTTGGGTGATAGCCAACTGTGAACCTTCAAAAGTATATGTGTATACGAGTATGTGCCTTCAAGTTTCCAATTGACTAATGGCAACCCCATTAATTTCATAAGGTTTTCATGGGCAAGGAATACTCAGAGGTGATATTGCCAGTTCCTTCCTCTGAAATATAGCCCTCAACACCTGACATTTACTGGTAGTCTCCCATGCAAGTACTAACCTGTGCTGACTTTGCTTAGTTTCCAAGATCAGATAGAATCTGGGGTCTTAGGCATATTTAGGCCCTTCCTTCAAAAGTACACTCCTTTTTATGTCAACCTGGCTACTAAGTGTAGAACAACCAAGTCAGATGTTGTAAGCCCCCCTTTAAGCTTGGTTCACAATAAAAAAAAACGGCATTCAAAACAACGGTTTATTGTGGAGTTTGATTAACAAGCATGCAGCCTTAAGGAAGAGTTTTAAACAACTTCTTGTTAATCCTCAACCAGATAGATAAGATATCATAGTCCCCTGGAGTCGTGCTTTGGTTACACTTTGACTTTTTATAAAAGCATTTGATGCCCAAAACGTTTATCTACTTTATACACATACAGGGTTCTAAACTAGTTAACTTATTGTTAACTTGTTTTATTGTTTTGCTCTAGTTTATGTTTAATTATTCTATTATTTTATTGCACAGCATGCAAAGGCATTTTGATACAGAACAAGAAAAAGCAAACAAGGAAGTGTAAGGGCCTTAAGTTATCCCTCATACAAAAGCTTCCAAAAAAATATAAATATTCTCCAAATCTACATGTTAAGACGAAGCGGGTTAATGAACGGTCTGTCCTCTATGTTGCCCTGAACTGTTAATCTAACTTGAGTCCATTTTAATAATTTACTACTTAGAAATGCTGTCAACCATTTAAAATGTCTATCTTTAAATGCACATGAAAGTAGGTCACTGAAAATGGGCTTACACACATACAACACAACAGACACATCAGCGGATTAAAATATAAAAAGCAAGAGATGAAAAAACTGACCTGCTTCTTTGGGTGTTTGTTTAGTAGGGCTAAAAATAAGACATAACATCTGGAGCAATCTGCCAAAGCTGCACAGCAGTCATTGAAGGAGGAAAGTTTGCTGCATATTTAAAAACAATAACACACATGAGTTGGGTAACTTTTGTTCAATGTTTCTCCAGCCCAAAAACAATCTTTTATTTTGTTTTAAAATAATTTTCTGCGTATAGTCTGAAAACACAGTACCCTACTCTGTGCAATTCAGGATTATATAAAAGAATGACAGTGAGATGGAATGAATATATAGTTAGTTGTATTTCACTGGATAACAATGACTAAAAATGGAATCTGAATTAGCTCCAAATATAGTGAACCAAGACTGGAAAGGTACTGCATCCTTTGGGCCTAACCAAATGCTGATACAGGGATTATTAATAATATAATAACAACTTTATTTTTATACCCCACCACCATCTCCCCTAGAGGACTCGGGGCGGCTTACAGAGGGACAAGCCCAAAAATTACAAATAAAAACAGAGACACAATTAAAATCAATCAAATCAAAAATAATAAAACATAACACAGTCATAAACAGCATCAGAAAATAATATGGCTGAAATAAAGGTCATAGTTGAGTTCAGGCTCAATGAGTGCAAACTTTTCCTAAAAGGAGCCAATGGAAAGTGCGGAAATTGAATGAACGGGGACTAGGGAATACCGTTATTCACAAAACGGAGCAGAAATCAGTAAGCACCTCAACAAAAAAACCAGAGAAAATCAAACTGGAAATTACATATCAAACAGTTTTCAACAACAGTACTGAAATTCAGATGACAATCTGTTTAAGGTCCCATAAGTCAGATCTCCAGCATTCATGAGCTGGACTGAAGAAAGGAGGGGAGGAGAGAAGGAAGCAGGAACAAAGGAAAAGAACAGAAGCAAAGGGCATGAGGAAGTTGAGGCTACAAAGAGAAGGGGGACAAAGGTCTTTAATAAAAGAAAAATGCAACCACAGCAAAGTGTGTTTGATGGTTGCAGGGGAGAAACAAAGTGGCAAGGTTTAGAAATCTTGGCTATCTAAACGTTTCAAGGACTGGTTAGATCACTTGGCTGTATGCTTTGTTGAACCTCTTAAACTGTTCCTCCATCAGACATCTTTGCATCCTTTCTTTTTAAATAGATGTTGCCAGGGATTCAACATAAGAACTTCTATGGACACAGCAAGGAGTACTACTTGCTAATGTTACGAACTTTTGCAAGGAGCCTTTAGATTTCGCAATTCCGGTCACTCCTCAACAAGGGTGCCAATGAAAGGACATATTATCTGAAGAGGGAGAGGACAGTCTGCCGTTCCATGGACTCTATATGAAGTCAAGTCGTATTTTGGTGTATAAAGGGGAAACAGACACTGCTTCATACAGGTGACAACGGGAAACCCAAGCAACAAAGTGCTGTGTATCATTTCTAGTCACATGTGGTTTAGATTGCACAAGTGAGTCTTGCCTTTATAACAAGATCCACAAGGGACAATAAACATAATTTGTTGTTGTTCATTCGTTCAGTCGTCTCCGACTCTTCGTGACCTCATGGACCAGCCCACGCCAGAGCGCCCTGTCGGCCGTCACCACCCCCAGCTCCCTCAAGGTCAGTCCAGTCACTTCAAGGATGCCATCCATCCATCTTGCCCTTGGTCGGCCCCTCTTCCTTTTGCCTTCCACTTTCCCCAGCATAATTGTCTTCTCTAGGCTTTCCTGTCTCCTCATGATGTGGCCAAAGTACTTCAACTTTGTCTCTAGTATCTTTCCCTCCATGAGCAGTCGGGCTTTATTTCCTGGAGGATGGACTGGTTGGATCTTCTCGCAGTCCAAGGCACATTATTGTTCTGTAAATGCAAATTAGCACAGTGTAAAAGCATCTATCTTCCTTCGCTCAGCCTTCCCCAAGGTCCAGCTCTCACATCCGTAGGTTACTACAGGGAATACCATGGCTTTGACTAGGCGGATCTTTGTTGCCAGTCTGATGTCTCTACTCTTTACTATTTTATCGAGACTGGACATTGCTCTCCTCCCAAGAAGTAAGCGTCTTCTGATTTCCTGGCTACAGTCTGCATCTGCAGTAATCTTGCCCCTAGAAATACAAAGTCTGTCACGGCCTCCACGGTTTCTCCCTCTATTTTCCAGTTGTCAATCATTCTTGTTGCCATAATCTTGGTTTTTTTGACGTTTAGCTGCAACCCGGCTTTTGCGATTTCTTCTTTCACCTTGATTAGAAGGCTCCTCAGCTCCTCCTCGCTTTCGGCCATCAGAGTGGTGTCATCTGCATATCTGAGGTTGTTACATAATACAGTGATACAAAATGTTTAAAGAACTAGATGCTGGCAGGATTTTTACAGACACGGCATTGCTCACTTGTTTTTTTAGATCTAGAATTACCTGAATATTCTCGCCACATTGGTGCACACATCCTTATCACTCATATATCTTTCCAACACCAAAGAAAGTTCTGGAATCGCTCCAGACTCCAAGAGTTTGCACCTTGACTGAGGCAAGTCCACTAAGTTTCGCAGTGTGGCAGTGAGCTAAAGAAAATAAATGTGAACATGAATAAATCCTCAGGTTATTATGAGTCCAAGACGGCTAAAATTTTAACAAGGTTAGTTCTAGACCAAACCTTCTCTGATGGGAGTTCTGTGGAACTCTGCAGATGTGAAGGGGAAAGTATGGATTATTTAAGAGCGAGTATATGAACAATGATACAGGTTTCATTTTTTTTTAAAGGATATGGGTCAGTGGTGGTCACATTTCCCTTTTTATTTTGATCGCAGGCTGGCACTTTGCTCCTTTCCTATAAATAAATTAATCTGTTTTATTCTCATCTAACATCTTCTGTTTTCCTGGTATCTATATCTATTCATAATTAGGAAGGTAATTGACAGGAAAGGACTGTCATATACCTGTGACAGTCCTTTCCTACATAGCTAAAGTGCTGGAATGGTTTCAGTTGTTCCTAGGTGTAACCACACTGCTTCAATGCTTTTCAATGTGACTTCTTAAAGAGTGTAACCTTACTACTTCCCATGTATATATACAGGGATCTTTGTACTTATGGTCGCTTCTTTGATTCTTGACTCCTTTGCAACATGTGGCTTATATCTCATTTGTAAATGCAATAAAGTATGTTCTTGTTACTGTATTAAGCTCATCCATTTTAGAAAGACCGTGAAAAGTTTTATTTACAAAGAAGCCTTTGATATCTGAGAGACTGAGAGATGCAGTTATTGTAATTTGTATTGTACAATGTACAAATCATCTTGATTTTATTTAAACTTGGGTCTTCATATTTTGACTTGTGTCTATTTTATTCTGAGCACTGTGATCAAAAAGAGGATCATACACATATGTACATACTTGCATTTATAAAGAAGGTAAACTGATAGTCAGAAGCTGGTGATGGTCATTGTTTAAAAATATTTCTGTTTTTAGATGTTTTGTTCCTCTGCTTAACAGTGGATAACTAGGTCAGTATATAAAATTATTCTAACTTTTTAAAAATGTGAAATAATATAAGAAGGGGAAAAGTTGTGTCTGGTTCAGGACAAAGATACCATATCTATTCCAAGATAAAGAGATTTTTAAAATTTAATCATTTAAAAAATTTCACTGATATTTAGTAACATGGCAAAGGTTGAAAATGCTACGTTGTTTCTCAATATGGGATGGAGACAGTTTTGAAGAAAATAATAGAACAAATTGTACTGAATCTGAGTAAAACAAGGCAGATTCAGGAACTGGGCCTTCGGAAGTCATGGATACATAGTTGCTTCCTTGAATGTGATTTTGGCTAGCAGGCATGGCAGCACTTTGGACATTGAACTGGACTATATGATTGTTATAAAAATGGAAATGGCTATATGACTGGGATTCATGTTATTTTTTTAATCTATTGTATATTTATTGTTTTATATTGTTGTTACATTGTGATATCTGCGGGATCAAATTGTTGCCAGTGTTAGCCACTCTGAGTCCCCCCTTGGGGGTTGAGAAGGGCAGGGCAGAAATTTTGTAAATAAATAAATAGATAGATTTTCTTCAGTTTGTCATTTGTACATTCACAGATAAGGGTCAGGGTGTGAGGCATAGAGATCGTGACTATTAAGTGGTGAAATATAATATAACCCTTATTTTCTGCCTTTCTTTAAATACAATTTTAATTTAAAAAATAAAATAACATCTTTACTGAATCTAACATGTTTATCTGTTACAGATATATTTTATACAAAATAATTTTCCCTAATAATAAATTCAACAGAAATTCCAATTAGTTATTTTACAAATCTCAAATGTCTTTTGAGATAAGAGCATTACGTGACTGGAGCTGCTGTCTGATGACTAGTCATTATTTCTTTAAAATTGTTATATTGAAAGTTTCAGATTCAGGTCACTCATTAAGTGAATGCAGCAGGAAATCCTTGAGCTTTTGTTATTTGCAATGTGAGGTTTGAGGTTACACTTTGCACACTGTATCTAGCAAAACATCAAAGACACCACTAGGGATGTTTTGCCTAATCTGAAAATATGTAACACCTTCTTAATAAACTTGATTTTCAGTATGAGAACCTGGATAAAAGGGAAGCAATAAACTAGTTCAAACTGGCATCTCAAATTTTCTATTTTGATAAATATTTTGATAAATTTTCTATTGTGATAAATATACATTAACTGCCATTTAAAAGCAACAAGAAATCTATTCTAGATACATATAGGAATACTTTTCTTGCACTCACATATAATTTCCTTATCTCTGAACAGAATGACCTTAGCATTAATTATGCTGGTTAATCCAACATTAGAATTATTCTCAAAAGTGAAAAAGAACCTTTCGATACAGTTAAACCCAACCAAAACTGAGAATTTAATTTTGATAACAATGTCACTAATGATCCACTGCCTTTTTAACTGGACTAACATAAAAAGCCTTTAAAATGGTCTTTTGTGTTTTTCCTTTGCCAATAACCAAGCATCAGTTTCAATGTTTCATCATCAATATCCATACTGGCACAAGAGTCTTTTCATCAAATATTTTTGCTATATAAAACATCGATCTTGTCTTTCTTTGCTTCACTGATTCCCTATTCCTTTCTAATCTTCTCTGGAAATTGTTTCTCTGGTAACTTGAATTTGCTTCTTAAATAATACAATGGGGAGGGTGGGGAAGATATACTGATGCCATTGCTTTATTACTCTTCCAGACCACCCCCCCCCCCCACTCCAGTCTAGTATCTCCTTTGTACAGGGAACATTCATAGAAATAAATGGCTACTTTTGGCCATCTCTTGACAATTATCATCAGTATTTTCCAATAAGACTCCAGAAATTATACTTATCCAAACCCATCCTGAGTATACAACTACAATTTACCACCAGAAATTACTTAAGGTGTGCCTATGGTTTTTATTTCTTAGGTTGCTACTAATTTATTTCTTCTTCTGCCTGTGGTTTTTATTTCTTCCTTTGCCACTAGTTCTGCTGAAGACAACTAACCAGCATATCTGAAATGAAGACAACTAACCAGCATATCTGAAAAAAGAGGCTCTTTTTCATGGAGGACGGGCAGCAAAGGCTGGCCTCGGAGGGACAGAGCGGGCGGAAACCCCTGCGGGCAACGCGCCTCCTCGCCGCTTCGGCTCCGCCCGCTAGTGCCGAGCCTCAAGGCATTGTGGGAGTTGAAGTCCACCACACCTGGAGAGCTATAGGTTCCCGACCGCTGTGGTAGGGGAACAAGTTGTCTTTGCTGAAAGAGTCAAATTGTGGAAGCCAAGATCCAAAAGTCTGTTCTACACACTGGCTTCTACATTCATAAACATTAAAAATGCTTCCAAAGACAAGCCAATTGCTTCAATCTTTCTGAGAATCAAAGTATAATACCACCCTGAAATAAAATGAGCTAATATGATTGAGGTTGAGTCTCCCTTTTCCAAAAATCTAAAATCCAAAAGACGAAAAAAAAAATGAAACTTTTGGCTGTGACCATCACCATTGAGGAAAAGGGGCTAGTTACACATCCAGTATCAAGTGAGTTTTGCTCAGGGAGCTTTTGTTCCATCACTGTCAAGAGAAAGGGAAGGAGAGGATTCTGGGTCCTGTGGCTTGACTTACACAAAAGTAGGCAGGGAATCCAAATTATATGGCAGGCATGGACTAGGGGGATGCCAGAAAGCTCTGGAATATCACACTTGCCTTTCACACCCTTTTTTCAGTATGACTACTCCACTGAGCACCACCATTTGTTAGATAGGAGGAGAGTATGGCATGGATTGGCTTGGCAAACGTTGGAGCTTTCCAATCTCTCCAAAACCATTGCACTCATGATGGCTATTTGTAAACCAAAGGTCCTCCCTGCCTTCCCTTTCCCCCATCAAATTGTTGAGTAAAAGCTCCTAGAGAAAAACTCAGCAGGTGCTATATGTGCGGGTAGCTCCCTTTCCCCATTCCTCATTCCCTATGTATGCGCAAACAGTGGTACCTGGACTTAAGAGCATCCCAACTTAAGAGTGTTTTGAATTAAGAGATGTAGTGTGGCCCTGGTTTTCCTTTGACATACAAGCAGCATTTTGAGTTAAGAGCTAGCACCAGTTTTACCATGGCACCCTTCTTTAGCTTCTCCATCCTTGCGTTTGAGCTTGTCTTTGGGTTATTTCCAACTCCGTAAGGATTTATTTTAAAGCCCTCTTGATCAGACTTCCTATTCTCCTACCAAAGACATTATTTTAAATCGTGATATGCAATCCATCTATAGCCAATAATCTTCTGTTGAAGAAGTGAGGAACATGGTCCCAGAAGTGAGGAACATGGTCCCATACTTTCTGTTTACACCATCTAACACAGTGGTTCTCAACCTTCCTAATGCCGTGACCCCTACATACAGTCCCTCATGTTGTGGTGACCCCCAACCATAATATTGTTTTCGTTGCTACTTCACAACAGTCATGTTACTACTGTTATAAATCATAATGTAAATATCTGATATGCAGGATGCATTTTCATTCACTGGGCCAAACTGGGCACAAATACCCAATACACCCAAATGTGAATACTAGTGGGGTTGGGGAAGGATTGATTTTGTAATTTGGGAGTTGTAGTTGCTGGGATTTATAGTTCACTTATAATCAAAGAGCATTCTGAACTCCACCAGCGATGGATTTGAACCAAACTTGGCTCCCATGACCAATGGAAAACACTGGAAGGATTTGATGGGCATTGACCTTGAGTTTGGGAGTTGTAGTTCACCTATATCCAGAGAGCACTGTGGACTCAAACAATGGTGGATCTGGACCAAACTTGGCACGAATACTCAATATGCCCAAATGTGAACACTGGTGGAGTTGGGGAAAATAGATCTTGACATTTGGGAGTTGTAGTTGCTGGGATTTATAGTTCATTACAATCAAAGAACATTCTGAACTCCACCAACGATAGAATTGGCTCAAACTTCCCACATGGAATCCCCATGACCATCAGAAAATACTGTGTTTTCTTATGGTCTTTGGCGACCCCTCTGACACCCCCTCGCGACCCCCTCAGGGGTCCCGACCCCCAGGTTGAGAAACACTGATCTAACATATCCAGTCATTCACCTTTTTTTGACCCTGTATAATCTTGCATCATTCATTGGAAAAATTAGCAGGAATACCACCTGTATGTCAAAACCCTTCACCTTCTTTCCCAAAGCTTCATAGCCCAAGGTGATCTGCTCAAATGTGTTCTTGTCAGTGTTGATAGTGAACACAAGAATATGGAGAAAGGGGTACTGATCTATGTTCTGGATGAGTTTTGTCAAGTTGTCAGTAACATCCTGAATACAAGTCCCAAAGACAGCATATTTCCTGATTCATGTGGTCTTGCTGAGCAATGAGTCCCCAACCACCACCAGCTTTCTTTTTTCTTGTTCTTGTGGTTGGTGGCTACATTGACTCTTTTTCTTGGCATGCAGTGTCCCTTGTCATCTTCACTGCTGTTATCCTCATGAAGATATAGAAAGTGATTGCTTAGTTGGAGCAGTTCCGAGTCCCTTCTGTATGGTCTGACCCTGGCAATGACTGTTCTCCAGAATGATTCCTCACTGTTCATTTTCCTTGGAAGTTCCTTCTTATTGGTACTGTAGGATAAATTATCACTGTGCTCTATTAAGGAAGTCCGAATTTTCTCTGATTTATTAAAGGGACTCAACACGTAGTGATAGTGCACTGACCTTCTCTTCCAAGGCACCTACCAACTTGCTGAAGGTGTTGGTGGAATTATCTGGCAATAAGACACACATTGCACATAAACTACAACAGATTCCTAAAGTTCCTTTCGTCTCCATCATGCAGATATTCCTCTCTTCTTCTTCCTTACTATCAATATGGGACATAAGTGTCGCAATACTACACTGAGAGACACACACCACTGGCTCAATCGTTTGCTGACACTTTCGCCTTTGCTGCTTTTTGGTTCACAATAACTTCAGCAAAGGCTGATTGGGGGGGAAGTATGAAGGTGATCTGTTACTCTTCCAAAGCTTTGCCTCCTCCTTGGGGGAGTCTACTACTAATTATCTAAGCAGATTATTCCTAACTATGCACTAAAACCCATGATCACATAAATCACAAGCAAGCCATAAGAAAGCTTCAGATTCATACATGCCCTTGCCTTTTTCTTCCTTGCCTTTTTCTTCCTTCTATGAATGAGGAAAGAGCAGTGGAAACTTTTGCTTGCTAGTTTTAATTAATCTCTATGGACTTAACATATCATGACTTGTTAAACCAAGATATTAATAAGATCTGGGTGCACATTTTTGCATCATCCCTTCCCTCCTCTCTTCCTGATGTGCCACAACTAAAGTCCTACTGTGTTAATTGACCACAGAACTGGAAACTATAGTTATCAAGACCAGAACAGAGAGGACCTTAAATGAACTTTAACCATGGTTTGTTATATCAATGATAACACATCTTTTCAGTTTTGATGAAACAGTAAACTTTGGTTCTTGAATACACAGAGAGAGAGACAGTTTTCCAGGGTTGTACACTGGGAGGGGAGGAGCGAAAGAGCTACATACAGTTAGCCCTCCATAACAATTGTTTCTATATCAACAGATTCAAGCATTCATGGCTTGAAACAAAGTCCCAGCAGATATGAAAGGCCCACTGTACAATCAAAACACTTTTTTTGTATCTTAACTTGGAATTTGTGGTCTGTCATAATTAGCACACTATCAAAAACAGCTTGGTATTTTCATCTGCCTTCCTGAGAGTATAAAGTAAGAAAGCTGTTTAAGAAAACATACCACTTCTTATTGACGAAAGTGCAATCTAATCGTTTGGCTAATTTTGTCTTTATGGAGTTGGATTTGTATGAAGTCCAAGAGGAATTAATTTGAGATCAACTCCCAAACTCTCCCATCAAGATAAAATCATAGAATCATAGAATCAAAGAGTTGGAAGAGACCTCATGGGCCATCCAGTCCAACCCCCTGCCAAGAAGCAGGAATATTGCATTCAAATCACCCCTGACAGATGGCCATCCAGCCTCTGTTTAAAAGCTTCCAAAGGAAGAGCCTCCACCACACTCCGGGGCAGAGAGTTCCACTGCTGAACAGCTCTCACAGTCAGGAAGTTCTTCTTCATGTTCAGATGGAATCTCCTTTCTTGTAGTTTGAAGCCATTGTTCTGCGTCCTAGTCTCCAGGGAAGCAGAAAACAAGCTTGCTCCCTCCTCTAAAAGTTTTTGATATATTTTTTATCAAGATGTAGATTACCCCTGCATTTTAACTTATTGAAATAGAAACTTAACACTGACCTGGACCAAGATATGTCCTGAACTGGAAAATCGAGGATCATTTTCATCAATTTCATTAATCTGTTTCATTAGCTTCAACAGTATCTCAACACTTCCCTTGCTGACCATCTCATTAAGGAGCCTTGCATTTCCAGAAATGAACTTTATTGCACCCATACAATAGAGAAAGGCTTCAGTATTTGTTCCCAGGTCTTCGGTTCTTAGAATTTCAAGCAGAGAATCTATGGATAAAATTAAGAATGCCAACGTAAATGTTTCATTCTGGAGCTATTTCTGCTCAACGTCTTAGAGAATAATACTCAGACATTTCATTGTGAAGTGATCTAGTAACCAATAATATCCAATGCAAAGCAAGCACAAGACTACCCACACAATAACGATTTTCCCCTACTCCACTGCATGGAAACCCTGAGTGCTTGAGAAAAGCTTATCCATATGATAGGGAAACGCTCAAGATGCAAAATGGTTAGAGGGTGCATAAGAGACTGAAGCTTCTATCCAAACAAGTTATCTCTGCTTGATTTCCACTCACCAGTTCCTTACTCCCATTGTAAATCCCTGCCCCACATAACAGAGCCTTTGAGAAGCATATGGGGTAGGCATGAGAAAGAAAGTGAGATTTCCCCCTTATGTAAGTAATCTGCATGAGCACAGCACTGGATGTCACCCAACAATTGCAAAATGCTATCATTTTTAGAAATATATTAGCAAGCGTTTGCTTTATTTTCCTAAGCTTTGAAGGCAGATGGTTTGTTTTGGAAACTGTTGGCAATTATATTAAAAATGGTTGGTGACTATGCACTTCAGATTTCAGTAGCTATCTGAGCTCACTTCAGTTTTAAAACAGTTTAATTACATTTATAACAGAAACATCTTCTCCTTTTCACAGCCGTGCACAGGTTTTTTCTCACTATGCATACTTTTCCTTTTGGAACCCAATCAACTTTTCTCAAAGAGGAATGTTGCTGTTGTTATTTATTTATATGCCAGTTTTCCTCTTTTAAAACAGACACAAAGTGTTTGAGGCATATACACATTCAGAACTTTAAATAATTGTTTAGTCCCCAAAATATTTTGTTCTTCAGATTACTCCAAATAATAATAATAATAATTCAATATTTCACTAATAATTGAAGAGGAACAACTGGAAAAGCTGACACGATATGAGGATTTAAAGATTGAACTACAAAGACTCTGGCACAAGCCAGTCAAGGTGGTCCCAGTGGTGATCGGCACACTGGGTACAGTGCCTAAAGACCTTGGTCCACACTTAAACACAATCAGTGCTGACAAAATTACCATATGTCAGCTGCAAAAGGCCACCCTACTTGGATCTGCACGCATTATTCGCTGATACATCACACAGTCCTAGACACTTGGTAAGTGTCCTACATGTGATCCAATACAACAACCAGCTAATCTTGTTGTGTTTCAAATAATAATGATAAATAGCTATAAGATAGCTGGACTGTACTCAGCTGTGATTCATTGGCACCCTAATAGTTTATATCAAAGAGCAAGCATTTTTCCTTCTTTCCTGAAGTATTAAAGATTTGGATGCATAAGCTACAGTTGTATATTCATAACTAATTCATATTCATAATCCTTACATATTCATGATTGTGGCAGCAGTGCAGGGAATATGCAGGAAACGTGAAAGTCCCCCAATTCTGCCTCAATTTGAAGCAGCCACGGATAGTAACAGAGATCTAATCTCCTGTCAATCAAGATGAGCAGACCAATCCCCAGGGTGAAGGGGAATTGTAAAAGGAATCTGTCTTCTGACTGAAGGCAGCTGGCTGGAGGAGAACAGACCTCCATAACTCACAGTGGCTACTGCCTAGTAAAGAAGGCCTGCAAGGGGCTGGGCCAGAAAGTGCTAAAAATCTAAGACCTTGGCCTGACATACTTAGATAGTGAATGCTGTGGACCCAAACCACATTATAAACTATCTGTGAAAAATCAGATAACATTATTGTTAGAATCAAATAGAGAATCTTGAAAATTGTATTTTGTTGTTTTCCCTCATATATCACACTAAAATTTACCCCAAAAAAAATCAAATAAAGAGATGGAAGATCAATGTAAAATCAAAGCATAGTCCGAAAAGCTATCAAAAGTATAAGATACTGTATTTCTAGACTGTCCTTACATATTAGCAGTGTATTTTCTCTTATTTGCTGTAAAAGAGAAACAGATGCTATGCATGGTAACAGTCATACCTAATATCCTGTCATTCTGAATGAGAGTGTCGTTTTTTTCATTTCTGCTTATTTTAAATACCAGCTTGCAAACATTAAGTAAATTCTTCCCACTCACTTTCAGCTGCAAATGAAGATGGCAAAAGAGAATAAAATATTGTCAATGAAATCAGATAGATTGTATTCTTCTGCTACTTCTTCAAGAGCCTACAGAACATTTATATATTCATTTCTGTTTTTTTTAAAAAGCTTTTTATATATAGCACAAAGGTTCTATCTAGTACTTTCTGGTAACTCAGAAAATGGCTGAGAAAACAGAACACCTACCACATATTGTCACTTTTTATTATAAACTAATGGAATTACTGGATGTCCAGAGGACAACAAAAAGCTTTGGTTCATCTGTCTCATTTCACAACATCTCCATATTCTGGGAGGGGAATAAGGATCCAGAAGATGGTTGGACATCACTTAATGGGAATACCCTTGAGCTGTGCTGATTCAATGAAATTATCTTGAGGACAAAAATTCACATTGGATTTTTTGGTATATTTTTCATGTAACCCATACATGCCTACCAATGCAGCACTCAAATAGGCGAAAAGAGAACTTCATAGTCATGCCCTCAATCTTTGATGTCAAAAAGCACAGAGGAAGGTACCCACTTGAAAATATCCAAGAGGGTTGGATATTTTCTAATAAAAAAGGGATGTTATCTAAATTTTATTTTTAACTAGAGTGATTGATTCAAGCTAGAATTTTAGCATTAATGTAAACATAGAAATAAGGCATTTGTTAAGTTATTACTTAAATGAAAAACAGTGCTAAAGAACCATGTACAGCTGATTCGTAATTCAAATCCTAGTTCTTTTGGATTTTTGCAAAACTACACATTCCTTTTGTCAGGCCCTCAAACATGGGGAATTAAAAGGTTTAGGTCACAAGTTCCAAACCACTCACTCAGATGGGGTTCTTGTGTTTTACATTTCATAACCCCCCTCATCTGTCCCAGAAAACTGGAACTTTTGCTAGCATCCTTTTTTTTTTCATGTCAGGAGCGACTTGAGAAACTGTAAATTACTTCTGGTGTGAGAGAATTGGCCATCTGTAAGGACATTGCCCAGGGGATGCCAGGGTGTTTTACCATCCTGTGGGTGGCTTTTCTCATGTTCCCGCATGGGGAGCTGGAGCTGACAGAGGGAACTCAACCTGCTCTCCCCTGTATCCATGTGAGAAGCAGTAAACTAAAGGAGGGGAGAGTAAATATAAGGTTATAAGGGGAAGAGGACTGGGAAAAACTGAATGGGCTTTACAGGCTGGATGAGAAATAGATTTTTCAAAAATGAATGTAGCTTCATCTTCTTCTTCTTAAGCTCAAAGCAGGGATGTGTGGTGATGGGGCAGCAGTAAAATAATAAGAGGGAATTTTCCACTTCCTTAAAATAGGCAATTAAAATTAAATACATGCCTACAAATTTAACTTATGCTTTGTAGTTAAATTCTCCTACCCTCACACATAAACATCACTGAATTAGTTTTTAAATATATTTAAAATTAACTAAACATATTAACATTTTTCAACTGACTTTCATATTTCTAGTCAACTTAATTTCAAAGAGAATAATGTCTCATTGCCCTATACTCACAAATTACAGTGTAAAGCAGAACCAAATCTAATACTCTTGAAGTGTACTTAAGCCATGTTTGAAAATAAAATTCACTAAACCACTCATAAGAGTTTCAAGTAAATCTTAATTTGTTAAACTAAGTTTTCCTTATTTCCGTTCTGTGCACAGTATATATTCATGCTATAAGACTATTGAATTATTTTCCACACCACTTTTTAATTTCTACCTTTCTTCTATGAGTTTTTTTAAAAATTGTGGATTATATTTTAATCAATTAAGAGCATGATTTTATATTATTTTTTCATGCTAGAAGACTTTTTATTCCACAGTTAATAAATGTAATAATAATAATTGTTACTTATACACACACTATGTTTATATTTTGGATCAAATATGAACTATTTTAAGTGTATATGTGTGTGCGAGAACAGGGCAGGACAGTAACTTCTTAATTCCTAATTACTATAGTGGGCTGTGTTTTTTAACTTCAGATACATCTCTTTAATTTGGAGATGTATTTGATGAAGTGTTCCCAAAGACAGCCCAGCGTACTTTCCCATGAAGTTTTCAACTGCTAAGCCGTGATTGAGTGACTCCAACATAAGGGTGAAACACAAATGTCAAACCCAGAAGTCTTCCAGATGGAACAAAGAAAAGAAACGTCAAGAAGCAACCTTAAATGACATGACATAAATTGGCACAAATCACCACTCTGGATGTGTCAACCATCAAGCCCTCCCATTTATGCACCCAAACGTTTTTATCAATATTGGAGCACTGCCACTTCTTTCATTAGGATTTTTTTTTGCGCTAAGAATTATAAGTTTTGGCCTGACAGTGATGACTTAAGTTCTTACAAATTATTTCTAAAAAAATACAATAGAAGTTTCAGCTAAATATCTCTTCTCAATGAAAATGTTTATAAGTTTGTTTTTGTTTGTTTTTTAAAAGTTACTTTCAAATAAGCTGAACATATTTATCAAGAATTACATTATAATGTATAACATATCATAATAATAGTTAGCAGAATTATTAGTTTTATTAGTACTAATAAAACAGCAATGTTATAAATAAAAGCCTGGAAATTAATTTTACTGCAAATAAATGTACAAAAGCATCCTTCAATCAACATCTGGCTTAAACAGACATTATTCTATAATGACCCAAGGCACAAACCTTGAAAACATATCTTTTGGCATAGGAAGCAGGCAAAGAATTATAATAATAATTAATTCTTTTTATTTGGGTTTCTTTTGTTATTTATCTCTTTGTTATACTGCCAGCTGTTCAGGACAAGGAGGAATATGTTGTTATTTATGAGATTGGTTCTTTGGTATATTTTAGATACACTTACTTAAAAAGAAGTAGCTGTGGTTCAGATAGTTTCCCCTTCAAGTAAATCAGTTTGGGTGAGCAGAATTCCTGATTGGACTTCAGAAAGAGGAAAATTATTGTGCTATCTTTTATATCTTGTAATATCAGTCACCCATTCTGGGAATAATTGTAGTTACAGGTAATTTTGATACTATAGTCCTTAAGAATGCTTCCCTTTATATAATTTAAAGTTCACTTTCAGTGCTTTAGGGGGCAATCCTATATGCATTTAACCAGGGTAAGCTCCTTTTAACTCAGTGGGATTTATTCATGACTACACATGGATAGGTGATTTTTATTACTGTCCTATTATAAAAAATAATACCAATAATATAATTAAATGTGACATATGAAAAGGAAAATTAGGTGCAATGTTTGGTCAACTAATATGCTGACAAATTATTCATCTTTTCCTGAATTATTTATGTACTTGTTTAATTAAGTGCAATTTTATTTCACAAGAAATATCAGGCAATTATAAAACTACAGTACTTATAGAATATATAATCCATCACATTATATGATAATCACAATTCAGGGCTCATCCGGATTGATTAAAAAAAGAAAGTCAAAAATTTTGTTCCTCTTCTTTCTGATTTTGCTCTGGAGGTTGATACACGTTATAATTTGTTCTTATTGTCGTTTGCCTTCCAGCCATTTCTAATTATGGCAACCCAAAGGAAAATCCATCATGGATTTTCTGGGCAAGATTTTATCACAGGGAGTTGCCACTGCTTTCCTCTGAGGCTGGGAAAGTATAACTTGCCCAAGATCACCTAGCAGATTTCATGGCTGGAGGAGAGTCGAACCCTGGTCTTCCAGTATCCTAGTCCAACACTCAACGACTTTAGCATGCTGTCAGCTCCTTGAACAATCAGAGACTTTTAAAATACCAGGTTGGTTTATTTTAACCCAGTATAATATTGCAAAGAACAGAAACAAAATTAAGGGTTTTTCATTCAGACTGGATGCGTCCTTTCCTTAACTTACGTCTAGAATAATTTTTGCAAGTTTCAGGCCAAGTGGATCGGAAGCAATGTCAACTAATTTGTACAAAGTTTTCAGACACAAACTTCGCCTTTTAAATCGCTTTCCAAGCATATTTCCTTCTTCCAAGGCTTGATAGAGAATAGTACAGGAATGGCAAAGCTTTTCTACATTGTCTTCTATTTGATGCAAAAAAGAAAGCAAAAAATCATTACCTTTTTTTAAAAAAAGGCTTCCAAGTCAATATCAAGTACAACAAATTTCAATACTACAGCACCAAACCAGGGACCTTTCTAGGGGCTAGCAGCTCAGGCAACAAATTTAACCCTTCTTTTAGTTCTGATTTTGCCCTCCCTTGTTTTATTCCAGATGATACGTACATTATGAGCCAAACCTCCCACCTCAACTTTCTTATCAACCATAAACATTGCATGAATACATGCTATGAAAGGTATGATCCAATGAAAGACGGTAAAAGTAGCTGCTTTGATGGTTCTCAGGAACACTGCAGGCAATCTTTCTTTAAGGAAAACAAGAAGGACCCATTACGTTGAGGTCCACTACTGTATTCAGGCTGACTTGTTAGTACCTCAAAAGTGAACCAACCTCTCCTATTTAGCTTGCTACTGTTTATCCATCACTCATGGTCTATAAAAGTTTTTATTGCTCTATGGACAAGGCACAAATAGTCATGACACAAATAACTGGTTTAAAAAGTGAGGGAGAGAACTGCCAAGGGCCAGAGATAGGACTCATGCTCCAGTCATTATAAAGGGAAGGAAGCTCCTCATATACTATTAGTGTTCACGGCCTCTTTAAAATATAACCCGAGGCCTGTAAATACTACTGGAAATGTTTCCTGCAAACTCCAAATCTAAAATTGTACTATCCCTTAAGCCAATGGTGGGAGCATTTTATGATTTGCTGTTGCACATTACTGCATATGCTGCTAGTGGAGAACCATTATGGTAAATAACAAATTACAGGAAATAAGCATTAAAATCTGTTTCATTAAAAGCAAAATACGTCTAGTAGCAAAATATCTATACATATATTACATACCCATCTCTAGCTGCTGTAAAATAGGTAAAATTTTCACATTCCAGTAGTTTTCTTCCTCTTCTGTCTCATTTGCTTCCAAACAATTTTCTAAAATATGAGAGCATACTATTAGAAGACAACATGTTAAAATGTAGCTTCAATTTGCAACAAAACAAACATATAGTAGAACAAATTTTGACAGTACTGTGACTTTATTATTCTGGCATTTCAGCAAAATCATAAAATAATATAATGTGCCAAAAAAGTGGATTTTTTAAAAAAGTAGTATTATTACTAATAATGAATTTTATTTGTTACCGCCTCTCCTCATGGCTCGAGTTGGGGTACAACATGGTTAAGACAGATAAAATATAATATTATCAAAATGCATACATTAACATAGACAAACAAAGATTACCAATAGTAATAAAATGTAGATTAAATTCAGTTTAAAACTGGTGGAAGAGATAGGTATTCTGTTTTATCTTGAATCCTGACAATGGGCTTAGCTGTTACATCTCTTTCAAGAGGCCATTCCACAGTCTTGGAGCAGCTGATGAAAGGTCATACTAGCATTTTCAACTGCCACAATAGTAAAACAAAAATAGAAAACTTAACGAAGACAGACTGACAAGTTGAATTTTTTTTCTCCATCTCAGTGGTTTATTGATCATAACCACAGCTTTGTATTGTGGTTACAACAATGACACTAGTCTACATTTATTGGTTCCTGTTAATAGCATATATATATATATATATATACACACACACACACAAAAGCCTTAGCAACACTCTGCTTTATAGAGCTTTACAAAGCAGAATACCACTTCGAGTCCCTTTGGGGAGATAGGCGGTATATAAATAAATTATTATTATTATTATTTGAAACACAACAAGATGAGTCCACAGCAGACAAGATCATTCTGCTGGTTGTTGTATTGGATCACACGTCGGACACTTCCCAAGTGTCTAGGACTGTGTGATGTATTGGCAAATAATGCCAATAATTATTATTTATTATCATATACTATTATTATTATTATTATTATTATTATTATTATTGGCCTAGTTGCTTAGTTGCAAGTGACCGAGACTCCACCCTGTCTCCCCCTCCAATTAATTATTTTACTCTTTTTTGCAATTTTAAAAAATAAAAATGCGGGGACAATTTTGCTACAACTGCAGTGATCCCTGGACAATTTTAAATCATGCTTACATTACCATCTGTCTTGCTAAGTTGCCTGCAATAACTGTATTAAGCAAATGTTTTTAAATATGTTTATTTATTTCTTATTGTAAATTTGTTTTTCTAGGTTATTGTTTTACATATGTATATGGTTTTGTATTGTCTTTTATATAATGTTGTGAGCCACTTTGGAGAGGAAAAGCAGGATATAAATAAAGATTATTATTATTATCATAATCATCATAATCGTAATCATCATCATTGAAAGCATTACTTTACATTCTGGTTAAATAAAGACTGCCTGCATGTGGATATAAATCAGACTGAGGAGGGAAGAAAAAGCATGGCAAAATGCCCCAACACTGCTGTTGGGAACAGCAGGTGAGCCATTTTGGTGGGAACAGGGACCATATTTTATAAAAATAAAAATCGAAATGCTGGAAAATTCCTCAAAAACAGGCTTGTGATCCTATACTCTCCCCATCATTGCTCTTGCTGCATGGGTAGAGGAAAACAGGAGTGAGTGTGTTTGAGACAGAGGCCTTACCCAAGCTCACAGACACACGATGCTGAAGTACAATATTGAATTAATTACAAATTAAGTCTATATTGCTCTTGACTTATTTACAGATTTGGCCAATCCTGTGATATCACATACCTTACTTGGGCTCACAGAGAATCACACACACAATGCAAAATATTATTCTGGATTAACTGCAAACTAGGACTAAATGATGTACCTGACTTATTTAAAGGTTTGGAGCATTCTGTGTTGGCTGGACTTTCCTCCCCCTTAACCAAGTCACTAGAAGAGAAAACAAAAAGTTTAGAAAAGTGAAGAGAAAATGAAATCATTGAACATAGTATCAGTTTCCTCTTAAATTCAGACAACTGAGAAGGTTTTTCAGTACGTGGAAAGCATATGTTATCACTGATAGACCCATGCTAAGACAGTTCTTTACACATGCACTATGGCCACAAATATCAGGACTTTCCCAAAAGCCAGACTCAGGGTGCATCTACACTATAGATTTAATACAGTTTGACACCACTTTTCACAGGAGTTGTACTTTTGTGAGGCACCAGAAGTCTTTGGCAAAGAAGACTAAAGAACTTGTAAATCTACGATTCCCATGATTCCATAGCACTGATGCATGGCAGTTAAAAGTGGCATCAAACTACATTCCATTGTGTGTAGATTCACCACCAGATATCCATTCTATCTCCAGAACAATTTGGTTGGTATATGATGCCTATATGAGAAAGGGCTGGTTTTGTGTCTTTGTTATGAATGCCTCAATCACTCTTGTATGGTGTGTGAGGGGAGTTTCTCCATAGTTTTGCGCACACAGGCAATTTAGGCTCAGATAGAGATGACTACAGAATGACTTCAATTCATTTCCTATTGTTTCAAAAAAGATTTTTCATGTGTCTGCAATGACCCAAAGGGGCTGAAACTGTAGGAAACAAGCTCCCCACAATCCTTATTGTACATTGGAGCAACAAAAAAATTATAAGGGAGGTTGCCTTCCAACATCTAGTGGGAACTAATGTAGTCTCTGGCTTCCCAGTTTCCCACCACTGATTTATACTCTACACTTTAGTCAACTTCTCAAGGCAATCTATAAATGAAAAAGTATATAACAAACTCCTGATGTTGTTTGACTGCAATACTCATCAGCCCCAGCCAAAACAATCAATGGTGCAGAAGAGTCCAATGACATTGAGAAGGCAAAAGTCTAAACCTGCAACAGTCCAGTAAATCTTCCTCTGATTAGGCTAAAGTTGGTTTGACAAAGCAAGGACAGCTCAAAACAAGATCATTAGTGCTGAATAAGCCTTTTTTGGCAGAGCTAATTACTAGTATTTTGGTCTACATTATTTCTTCTCAATCACTCTGCAGAATCCCATATACTGGCAAAGAACAGAAGGCCACCTGTGAGGGGTGCTTTGAATGCGAGTTTCTTGCTTCTTGGCAGGGGGTTGGACTGGAAGGCCCACAAGGTCTTTTCCAACTCTATGATTCTATTATTCAATTTCTGTTAAACAAAAGATTTCAAGAAAGTATGTGTGCTCCCTGTCTTGGCCAGATTCCCCCAATCAATATGGTGAGCAGCTATGCTAGCTGGGGCGGCCTGAGAATGATACTTCCATTTTTCAAGCTCTACTAAAGGACAAGATAAAATCCTATTACCATGCTTATAGCTGAATTGCTTAGGCATAGCTGGTGAAATCAAGACTGAAACAGTGTTTTCCTTCCCCCTAGATCTCTGCCACATTATTTATCTCACTTGTATGAGTCATAAATAATATTGTTATTCTTTTAATATATGATGCAACATTAAATGTAATAACTATGTTTCTTCAACATTTTACATCTAAAGTTAAACACAACTGTATACAGTATGTTGTAATTCAATCTCAGCATGCTGCAATGAAACTTTTGCACCACACGAGGCCGCTATAACTGAACACAACAAAAATAGGACCTATTTTGAATCAGAAGTTCAACACTACATTACACTGGAGGACATGACTGCCAGGAGATCATGAATTCAATTTAGATATTTTTATATAGTATAAGTGCCATTTTCTGTAAGCCCCTTCACTGTATTACTGCTAAAAAGGGTAATGCATTGGCATTTGGTTTTTAAAAGAATACATATGTGTTGTTCTGTAAACATTATTTTGTTAACATGTTTCTTACAAAAAATGTTTGCTTAAAAGTTCTCATGTGTAATGTAATGTCTTTTTTTCAGTGCCTAGATCAGTCATCTATGAAGCCTGAAGTGGATTGCCAGCTCCATTACCCAAGCCTAAAAATAATATTTCAACAGAAAACATCCCTATTATTGGACTTTGGACTGCCATACCCACAAAAGACTGAGTAATAGGGGCAATTGACCACAATGTTAATGAAATCTTGGATTTCTAAGCTCTCCATAGTTACTCAGTTTAAGTTACTCAGAAATAACTTGATGAAATTTCCCCAGAGGACACATTTTTGAAATAAGGAAATATTTAAAAACAGCTAAGCAGTATTAAGTGTTTAATAATATTGTCCCCCCCCCCAAAAAAAAATCATACAAAAGAAATAAAATGAAAACAATCAAATGAGAACAAAATGTTGGAATTATGCAGTTTTTTTTTAAAAAAAGCTATCAACTTTAAGCATGCATTTGAACAAATGTAAAATCAGTGGTATTAAACATGCTGACTACTTCTGAGGGTAAAGACTGGTGCTTATACAGCAGGCATGGGTAAACTTTGGCCCTCCAGGTGTTTTGGACTTCAACTCCCACAATTGTGGGAGTTGAAGTCCAAAACACCTGGAGGGCCAAAGCTTGCCCACGCCTATTATAAAGCATCGATGTTTTATCAGTGTTTTATGTGTATTATTCATATGCCTTGATTTTTTTCCTTTATTATTATGTTGTTTATTTTATTGTAATTTTGTATTTTTTTGTATTGTAATTTGTTGTTCCGGCTTGGCCCCATGTAAGCCGCTCCGAGTCCCCATTGGGGGAGATGGTGGCGGGGTATAAATAAAGTTTATTATTTGTCCTAGCATAGTTCGGCAGTATCAAACCACATTCAATAATCTAAAACTAAATCTAAAATAAAACTAAAATATAACAAGCTGTCTCAAAAGTGAAGGGCATTTAAATATTCAGTGTTACTAAGCAATATGAACAAATTAAAATGAAAAGATATTGATAGACATAAATTAGTCTATGAGAAGGTAAATTAAGCTAAGGGCAAAAATTATTCTGCAAAATAAGTGGCAAATTAAATATCTGAGCATATCTTCTAATTCAACAATTATCACTGTGTGAGATATTTATTCTCCTCAGTTATGAAGAGCAATAGATGCTAAACCTTTTGCAAAGCAGCATTAATTTGGGTACCAAAGCAACAATTCCTGCCATAAAAAATAAGCACAAACCTTTTCAGCAGATTTAGGTGTTCAGACAGAGACAAGGGGAAGGAAATCTATTATTCTAGCTGTTGCCACAGGAATTTGCAAGAAGAGATCCTTATATTGGGTTACAATGGTGGCACAGGTAGAGAGTCCCAAAGGTAAAACTGTAACGGGGCTCTCTACCTGTGGATGGGAAAGTGGATGGTAGCGGGTGGTGAAATGGATGGTAAAGAATGGTTTGGGAATGCCAAGAGCTGGGTAGGATTCCGAACATATTTACATATTTCTGTTTACAGTTTCTGAAGAGTATGCATGGAGTGATGCATCCCAACAGAAGTTTTGTGTCCTGTCAAGAGAATGCCTATAAGCAACAAGCCTTCTAGTTCTCCCTACAGCAGTAACTCCCCAAATTCCTTCACTTACTCCTCCAAACAGGAATGTGAGGACATGAAAAGTTAACACCATGAACACATATTACTGCAAACAAGAAAGCAGAGTCAAAAATCCAAGCAAGATTAACTGCAGCAACAAATGAACTATAGAATCTAGAAATCAAAATATACTGAAATGTACTTTGAGGTCAGAAAATTGCTGCATTCACCCAAGAGGTAAAAAGTTGTGATTGTTCATAAGAATTAACAGGAAATAAAGCAGGCAAAAATATAATTTAGATGTCAGAAACAACAGTGTGGTGATGCAAATCATGGCGAACTGACATATTTAGGCAGAATGGATGAGCTCATGTTTACTTTTGTCCTTTTAGAACAGGCCAATTCTTTTGTAACATCGGGTCACTTCATGTTCACAGTCCTAATCAATCTTAAGCAGAACAAATGCACAGGCAAGTGAGACAACAAGTGGAATGACAGCCAATACCCAGGAGAGAATTTAGCATCAGTGACCTCTGCTCAAATGGAGACAAAATGAGCATCTCGGTCATGTTAATGGTGCTAAGGACTTCACAGAGTCAGGCTTTGAGGGAATACACCAGAAGCTCTGCATCCAGAACCCTAGTCAAGTCATTCTTTTAAGATGCAAGTATAAATCAGCAGCAATATAGTTAAACCAAATAATCTCACTCAAGACAATCCAGGCAAAATCTACCCTTGATTTTCAAGGAAAGAGATATACAAGACTAAAACATGGATTGAATTCGGATAATAATGACAGCTTTGAAATTCAGTTTTGAATGGGGGAAAATAATCTGCTATTGTTCAAGAAGAGTGATATACTGTATTACACATTTTTTAATTTTATAAACATTTTGTGTGAGTTCTGAAATGCAGCAGCCAAGTATAAAGAGGGCTCGCATCAGACTTCCAGCTCTATGGAAGAAAAAGCTACTGTTTACTGATAGATTTGAATTCAGTTCTGCACCAACACAATACTAAGAAAGGAGATCAGTGTAAGGGAGTATTGCAAACAGCAATCCATAGTGCCAACAATGTACATATCCTCCTAGGAAAGACAAATTATTGATTTCGTTAACTGTAGATTGTTCCCAGTTGGCAAACTTGGAGATCTTAATTATATGTTTAAGTGTGAGTGTTATTTTGTACAATACATTATATGTGTGTATGCACACAATATGGAACTTGATCACTATTTTGGTTTGGTTTGGTTTTTTATTATGCATTAAGTTCTATTTTATTAGGAAATAGGTTTGAATGGATTTCAATCCTTTCCTTCTCTGCCATATGTCTAATTGCTTGTATTCAACTCCTTTTTTCCAGAGAGAGATTCTATTGTCTCTTATCAGAGGAGGATTTTTTTTGCTGTTTCCTTCCCCTCATTTATTTTCTTTTAAAATTATTGATTATTTGACACAATCATATAATATACAATCAGAAAGTATACATTCAAAAATAATGAAATGTGTCTCTGATGTTCAATTTCATTGCTAATAGATCTATATTCAAATGGCAACTTGTGCAAAATAAGCATAACATCTATGCCATTCACTAGAATTCAAGACATTCTCAGAGCAAAATATGTACAAACTTTTCTTAACTAGGATAATTGGTGGCTATGTATTAGGAATAGATGCTTTATTTCTGGATAAGAGCAATAGGAACTTGATCACTATTTTGAATACGCATTCTACGATCACTAGCTGTTTCTGCCACAGAAGTCTACACTGACTGAAATGTATTTATTACTATTCAGGCTACTGATTGTTTTATGATGTTGTGTTATGTTATTATGATGCATTTATTTTATTTTATTTTAGTAGTTTAAAACTATTGTTTCGCATCCTAGTCTCCAGGGCAACAGAAAACAACCTTGCTCCCTCCTCCCTATAACTTCCCCTTACATATTTATAAATGGCCCTCATCATGTCTCCTCTCAGATTTCTCTTCTGAAGGCTAAACATACCCAGCTCTTTAAGCTACTCCTAAGTTATTATATTATATTATGTATGATTGTATTGTATTGAAATTATCCAGACCCTTGATCATTTTATTTTATTTTATTTTATTGGGTCGTGTTTTTATGTTTGTCCAGGCTCGTCCCCATGTAAGACGCCCCGAGTCCCTTTGGGGAGATGGAGGCAGGGTATAAAAGTAAAGTTATTATATTATTATATTATGTATGATTGTATTGTATTGAAATTATCTCCTACATTAGTTTCTGCAATATATGTTTTAAAAGACCACAACTGATTTAAACATGTTCTTAAGTTCTTGGTGTGAAAAAGTACATAGGTTATAAGGCTATATAAAATACTGACCTTTGATTGCTGAATTGAGATGCAGGTGATATAGTTGTCATTTTTGGACACATGTCTCCACCAATGATCTTACTATGATTTGCTTTATAAGGTAGTGGGACATATTCATCCTTAAAATTCAATTGGACGGTGAGTTTTTCTGTAAAATGTTCATTACTGTTCTTTGAAATATCCCCCATAGCAGTTTGTTCTTCAGAACTTTGTCTTTTGCCTATAGGAACAAGTTGAAATATTCTTATAAACATAAAAGAGGAGTTTTAAAATGACAGGTGCTTTTGAAGTATTATTTTTAACAGTTTATTGCCCATACTACTTGCTGTTATCTAGAAAGAGAAACCTAAATAAAAGGAACTGACGCAGGCAGCCTTCTCTGCATCAAAGATTTCTAAAGAAAAAAAATGCCCTCATTCATAAGGACTGTGACCTTACATCTCTATGGAAAACCTTGCTTTGTAAACTAAGTACAAAAATGTTTCATAACCTGCAGCACTGATAATGAGATCAGGACAGATCCTACATACAAAAAAAAGCAGCTCAATCAGAAGTCATGTACCTTACTTTTTAAAAAACACATTGCCATTAATAAGTTCTCCAAAGCAGCCTTTGATATTTTCTTCTCAGAGAGGCTTGTGCTAGCGAGGGAAAGGTGTCTTTGTTCAGGGCTTACCAGCTGATCTCATCATCTGACTGGGAAATTATCCCTTCTGCAGGCTCTGCCTTCTCAGACAGGATCTCCTTGTCTGTCTCCATTTTTGTGCTGTCACTATGTGTAATTTCCCATCTCCCTTTCTATTTAACAACGGGCTGGCTACCAGGACTTGGAAAGATAGGTTTGAAAATTAATTTGAAATGTTGAGTGTTGGGAAATGGTAAATTATTTACCATCAAGACTTACCACTGAATTAGTGAATCATTAATTGGCTAAGACAAATTATTATTAATCAGCTCATTGCTGAAAATGTTAGCTTCAAGGACAGGTCATGAGAATTATAGAGAACAGCATGAATGCTTTCACTTCTAAAACCCTAGGGACACCTTTGGTCACTAGCACTTTCTGAAGTGCACTTTTGGTCCTTTTAAAGTTGCTTTTCCTAATAAAGATGAATCACGGCAGCTTCACAGCTTTTTCTCTCCCTTATTCCCTATAAAGAAGTGTTGTCTGCAAAGGTCAGTATTAGAGCAGATGTTTTCCTCATTTATCTCAATGAGACTTCTTATGCTAATTATTATATTTATTTATATACTGTTTTTTCTCTTAAAGAGATTCAAAATTGCGAACAGTGGTCAAAACAACACAAAATACAATTTAGTTATTATTTTGAGTAGATTTCTTTTTAAAGTAAGATATAGGGACAAATGGGAACAAATGGGCTCCGATTTCCAGCCTTACCAATCCTCTCAGAGCATATGAATTCCTGCAGAAACGTGTAAAAAAGAGAACTGGAAGAGGGCATTCATTCACTTAATTTCATGTTCTCGCCATGTCTACTCAAAAGTACAGGTGATGAAAACTTTCCATTTAATTATCCAAGCACCCCAGAAATGCATGAGTGAACACTGAAGAAATACTAAGGGATTCAGTGACATTTGCTACAAGCTACCTATCTACAATTACTTTTTAAGAAAATAAAAAGGCAAATGTAAATGTAAAGGTTTCCCCTGATATTAACTCCAGTCGTGTCCGACTCTGGGGGGGATGGTGCTCATCTCCATTTCTAAGCTGAAGAGCCGGTGTTGTCTGTAGACACCTCCAAGGTCATGTGACCAGCATGACTGCATGGAGCACCGTTACCTTCCCACAGAAGCGGTACCTAATCATCTACTCACATTTGCATGTTTTCAAACTGCTAGGCTGGCAGAAGCCGGGGCTAACAGTGGGAGCTCACCCCGCTCCCTGGATTATAGCCACCAACCTTATGGTCAGCAAGTTCATCAGCTCAGTGGTTTAATTCACTGCACTACCAGGAGGCCCCTTTTAAGAAAATAACTTCCATTATATAATCCATTAAATTTATTCCCCTCACCTAGAGATACAATTTTTAAGTGAATGAAAATGTAGCATACTTTAATTGAAATAAGCTCAAATCCTGAGTTTGTTGCCATTGCCAAGACTCCAAGAGCATCCTCTGAGTATGGGGCACTCCCATTGGCTATAGATGTTATATATTCTCTCCCCCCCCCCCCCAACAGTCCACTGTAGCCTTCTAAAATCTTCTTGGGAATATAGGATATCCTTTGGATGTCATAACCAAAGTAATTTTGTTTTTTTCTTCCCTTCCACTAGTAACAACCTCTATTGAATTAAAAGCCTTCCACTGATGAAAATGGAGCCCCCAGTGGCGTAGTGGGTTAAATCATTGCGCCAGCAGGACCGAAGACCGATAGGTCGGAGGTTCGATTCCAGGGAGAGCGCGGAGGAGCTCCCTCTGCCAACTCCAGCTCCCCATGCGGGGACATGAGGGAAGCCTCCCACAATGATGATAAAATATGAAAACATCCAGGCATCCCCTGGGCAACGTCCTTGCAGACGGCCAATTCTCTCACACCAGAAGCAACTTAGTTTCTCAAGTTGCTCCTGACACACACAAATAATTGATGAAAACGATCTTTCAATTCATGGAAGGCTAACTAAAGATCCAAGCTAATATAAAGATAAATGTTTTTCATTTGGTATGATTGACAAACCATTTCAACATTAATTGTGAACCGAAAGATTTTAATTCTTCAAGTAGATCAACTAGGCTAATCTCAGTTTTTGAAAGGATTGCCTTTTAAAAAATTGTTGATAAAACAAGTTGGAAAGAGTCTTACTCTCAATGGGAAGCAACACTTTGTCTGGGAGAAGCTTTCCACAAGATGCTGTTTTAAACAAATATGCACGCGCATTGCTGACTTTTCTAATCTCCTCTGAATCCACTGGTATCTTAGCAGGGGAAACAGGATGCTCTTCTTCACTTGTGGCTGATGGTAGCAACTTTGGCTTCTGATACACAAGACAAGAGCTAACTTAACATACATCAGAAGAGCAGAGTTTGATTAACATTAATTTTTACTGAGTTCCAAAAATGTAGTCATCAGTGTATACATGTATCATTCACTCCAATATAATAGGCACTGTAGGGAGTGTGCCTCAATTCAATTCCCCAAAGCTTAAAAAAAACCAAATCATCAAATAAAGTAGTGGGCACAATTCAGATTATAAAAAAATCTCAGCCTTTTTGATTTAATAAAACAAGATTTTCATCTGCATTACTGCCAATATCTTTTTATGTGAGAAATCTGAAGTTTTAGATGTCAAAGTTGCTGGATAAGATTTTCATGGTTGAAGGTTGGCTTGAATGTCAATTTCGTATAATTTTAACAGATCACGGAATAATTTTTTTATTTACACCTGCTTTTAATTAATTAAGTACAGAATGCCAAAAGCCCTGTCTATCAAAAATACGCACATGATCCAATGGGCTGAGGCGTGTACAAGATACAGGCCTTGATTCAACCGATTCAAAGCTGGAAGCATGAAGACTGGAATAAAAAGAAGCAATATTAATTAACATATAAACAATTATTTGCATGTTTTCCCTCCAAACATCTATATGTACACTAATTTAAAATGCTGTCTCTGATAATTTGTTCAATAATAATAATAATAATAACAACAACAACAGTAACAATAAATAATCCACCTCAAAACCTTTCTTGGATTGCAAAACAAAAGACTGTAATGCAAACTTGATAGGAAAGCAAGAGAGCTCAAAACATATCACAGTTCTTAATCTGTTTATCAAATTGTCTGCATCCCCCTCTAGTTCTGCTGCCAAAGAACTACAATGGCAATCCGTACAGTGATAATGCTTCTGCAGAAGGAAGCCCATTGGGAATCACAAAATCAACACAAGAACAAGAGATGAGACATCTAGACAGCAAATCACAAGAACTTCATTTTCCTATACAAAAAAAAATCCTAATAATAGTTTTGAGGCTGATAATGAGCACTTCTTTTCTTTTGAAAAATTGTCGGGAACACTTCTAGTTTTTTTAACAATTATACTGATAGAGATTGACTTGCTGCTGAAAGAATGAACAATCACAATGCCTGCCTTTTAAACATCTCTAAAACTCTTGAATCATATATACTTTCAAGGTGCATTTCAACCCTTGCTCTCGGAAAATGCTGAGGCTACATCCCCTCCCTCTCACCCTGTACCTAAAAGCAGAAGGTGGCCTATTTTCAGGTGTTCTTGATGAGGCAGATCCAAAAAGTTTCCTTTGCTGTTCTCTTGGTGTAAATGGTCTTTGGGTTCTTAAGGTTCTTAGTGAGTTTCGTGCTTCATTTATGATCTCAGCACTAGTCTTCTGGACAGCTAAAGGAGACTTATAGAAAGCTTCCGAATATTCTTTTTTATTCTTTGACGGCTGCATTTTTGTTAAGTTGCAGAAAATAGTTTGCACACTGTACAGAAGAGACAGGAAACAGATTATTTGCAATATAATTTTTTCAGGTTCTGATCATGCTCTGATGCATTTCTAATCCTTGTGATTACCATTGCACTGGTCAGTAGCCCATACTGTTCAGCCATCTGTCTGTACAGCAGATTAGCATGGCCAGTCTAGTTGGTATCTATCCAGCAAAATGCCAGCTATTATAGGATTCCTTGGCATTCCATTGTTCTGACCAGCAATTGTATACTTGTGTTACTTCCGGGTACAAAAAGGTAAAAGCAGCTGGAAATGTGTCTGCATCAAGAGCATCAAGAGCAACAAGAAATGTAGGATCATTTCCAAGTGCACACAGTTGGGCTCTTCTTGCTTGTCATTTTTGCTGCTCTTCCTCACACAAGAACACCTGTGCCATCAAACTTTAATGGCACTTAAAGCATTTTAAAAACATACCAAAAAGCATCTTATGTAAGGGATTTTTGTGATATGCTTCTGAAATTTGGTAGCAAACCTAGAAACCCATTTGAAGCAAGCGCTGCTCATTTGTTTTAAGAAAGGTTTGTGCGGGATTTTGGCTTGCTGACAAAACTCAGCAATGTGATTCGCTATGAAATTTGGATGGTGTGGTAGTGACAGAAGGCAGCCTGTGGCTGATACCAAAGAGATAAAATTAGTCCCTGGAGCTGCTGAAGTTGCAAACTGCTACCATAGAATTATATACAATATAGGGTTGTGATTCCTCTATACCTGGCTGGATTCTGTATTTCCATGAGACCTGCTCATGAAAAGTCTAACATAAACAGACCAAACTAAGCAGCCACATGTTGCATTAATTTTTTTACAAAACTCTGTAGGGTGGATTTTTCAATGTGATTTAAAAAGAGTCTCAATGAATTTAGTTTTCAGGTATCATAACTGAAAACCAAAGACATTGAATAAACATCTGATATCACTTCAACTATATACTAAACAGCAAAATGTTCAGTGCTAACACCTCCCAACAAAGGATTCCCCCAGACAGCAACCAGTCAGACTTTGAAGCTGCAAGGCCATTAAATGCTAATCAACCCAGTGATTCTGGCCATGAAAGCCTTAGACAACACATTTTTCTGTTTAATCTCCTCACTCCAAGCAGATATTTTATAAGTGAAATATCATCTTTACATTTAATGTAAAAAAGTGGGTTAATATCCAGATTCAGGTGCGTGCATCTGCACTGTTAGAAGTGGTCCTCCCTATGCCACGCTTTCCATGGTAGTACCTCTAACCTCAAGAAAACACTCCATAGTCACAGAGCTCACATGAATGAAGTCAGCTATGGCATCAATGAATGCACAAAAATCAGACAGAAGCATTTTCTATAAGCAGAGCCCTTCTGTCCATGGAAAGCTCATTTAACTGTGGGATATGAATGGCTAGAGTATATAAATTCCCCAAAATTGTCTATGAAGTATTTTGTCTCCAGAAGATACATAAATGGCTGAATGGAGTTCCCTCTTATGCAATTCCAGTGTCATGTGATCTCAGATTTAACACACTTGTTTCTGGAAGCCCCGCCAGTATACAGCTGAAGTATGACTCTATATAGAAAAGTTAGGATATGAAAGGTAATGCATATCAATATATTCATTTATAAAACTATTACACAATTTTAAAAGATCCAAAATAATCGACATATAAATAAATATATCACTGAAAATATAAATCATAATTATAGCTCAAGAGATTATCCTTAAAATGGAGCCCCCGGTGGTGCAGTGGGTTAAAGCCCTGTGCGGTCAGGACTGAGGACCGACAGGTCGCAGGTTCAAATCCGGGGAGAGGCGGATGAGCTCCCTCTATCTGCTCCAGCTCCTCATGAGGGGACATGAGAGAAGCCTCCCACAAGGATGATAAAACATCAAAAATCATCTGGGCGTCCCCTGGGCAACGTCCTTGCAGACGGCCAATTCTCTCACAACAGGATGCTCCTGACATGACAAAAAAAATTCCTTAAAATAATAGAGGAGAGATAGCATTGCTATATAACAAGCTGTAAGAAGTGCAGGAGAGATGTTTCTGATTTATTCAGCATAAGTTTATTCTTTTAAAGTTTGTTTTCATGGTGAAGGAGACAATGGATCACTTGAAGATATATACTTGCCATGAGCAAAGACTATCTGCCCAAACACATTTGGCTTTGTAACAAGATGAAGGACTGAAATACAGTTGAAGCCATCCATTTGTTCTTTCCTCTTCCAAGGATTTCAGTCTAATTTACTCCCTTGAATAGTGTGATTTATGTTTTCAGTGAAATCTTTATTTGTATGTGGGTTATTTTTAAATCTTTTTAAATGATGTAATAATTTTACCATTGATATACGTTATGTTTAGTTTCTTTTGTTTGGTTAATTTCTATTGGATATAGATTAGGTCATAATTCCCCTTTTTTCTGCTCTGGACTGCTTGGAAATGCTTTCTTGGCCCTGCCATAAATTTGTCTCCTTGAGGGCAAAACAGTGTCCGTCCCTAAGTCTGAGTAACCTTCATTTTTCAACAAGCTCTTCTCAATCTCCATACAACAAACTTTAGCCAGTTCAGATTGTACGGAACTTCTATCAACATACTAATCAACAGAATACTGTCAGTGAGGCCAAGACAGGGCAATTTGAAGTACCCTCTCCAGACTGATTTTGATCAATACACTCTGAATTATCAGCAAAATAGGAAACACATATAGCAGATTCTTTGACCATATGAATGATAAAGAATCTTGACTTTCTGCATCTGAACATTCATCTATAGCAATAAATCCTTTTTTTACTTTGGGTATATTTCCAAGGGCAGGCAAGTCCATCACAAATTCTCTGGATTTTTCAAACACTAAGCTGTTCAAGCATCATTCCCCTGGCAATATTTTGAACCTGCTCAGAAAATATGCCATTAAATTTAAAGTTCCTTTCAGGTAGGCTGTCAAATAATTGAAATGTTTTTTAAAAAGTTATTCACCTCGACAGTTCCACATCAACAATTGAATTAATTGTCCCTGAATTACAAACATCCTACTTCATATGACTCCTAGTTACAATAGGGGTGAGCCAACAGGAAGTGAGAGGAAATCTACCACTAGGGAGGAAAATTCACTCCAGTAAAAAATGTCATGGGAAAAAAGTATCTTCACTGAAGATTTATCACCAATCCTTGTTTCCACGACAACCCAAAATTTTCAAAATCCAATTGTCACAGGGAAAGTGAGCTGGAATCCTCTGAACGGGGGCCCAGAGAGTAAACCAAACACCACAGGAATGTTAACCTTTCCCTATGCTATCCAAAAACTAAAATAAAGGGCTGGAATTACACTTTAAAATGTACCTGTTCTGACTTACATACAAATTCAATTTAAGAACAAGCCTACAGAACCTATCTTGTTTGCAACCTGAGGACTGCCTGGTTATTCTGTATTAACTTTCCCAAAGTGTACTGGAAAAATATCACCAGCTAAAATAGGCCTGGCAGAGCCAGTTGGTAAAAAAGCTGGATGAGATATCACCTCTGCACCATTTGTAATCTTCCCACAATTTTAAAGCCCATCTGCTCTAACCCGTTCTGAGATCTTGATTTTGAAACTTGAGAAAGAACAGCAAAACTCCTTGGAGTACAGGAGCCCCAAAGGCTATTGTCCTACAGTCTTGTTATTAATGGCACAAAACCAGTGGAGAAGTGCTGTTCATTACTTATGAAAGGAAGGAAATCTATCTCTCACACACAAGTAAACTGTCACAGAAGAGATACTCACCAAAGGTTTTGCTCAGTATACTCTTAAGGCCAAATACAACAGCCCCCTGCGTCTATATAAAACTTCATTAGATAACAATTTCTTTAAAACTTCCACAAGCTGATGATTTGCAGAATAATACAATGATGATATCTCAGCAGGATCTGAATGATAAGGAGAAAACATTTATTGTCAAAATAAACTGGACAAGTTAACAGTGCTATCTAGGGATTATTTTAATGGAAACCAACTGGCACTGCTTTCCGTTTGAAAATGTAAACTAAAACTACAGCCAAAAAGAACAAACACTAATATCCTGCACAGAATGTATCAACAAGTACAAAATGTAAGTTCCAGACACTCCATATCACATATCAGTGAAGAATTCCTTCCTAGTTATGCAACTTAAGGCAGCATGCCAAATGAACTACTTTGCAGATACTACTTTCAATTGAATTGGATATTGATTCTTCGTTCACTGCCTCTATTACCTAAACATATATGCCAACTTCAGTTCCATTAAAATTTCTCAGATTTCATTTTTGCTTTTTGTATTCCCATCTCTTTTAAGTACAGTCATGAAATAATTATGTATTTATTTCATGAGATTCAAGCATCTTTCCACAAAGTTACAGCAGCCTACTTCACATGTGACTTTTTTTTTTTACTTAGTCACTGGCACCTAAATTTGGGAAATGACACAACTGAAAAAGCATGTGAAGAGATATAGAAACTCCACCTTAAATGGACCATTTGCCCACATCATCTCTTATCATCAACCATGTTGTGTCCAATCGATAATTGTAGCTAAAACATCTCTATGGCCAATATTCCCGATCTGTTCACGAACAGAATTGCCAACTAGATTATTAAACCACAATTCCTATGTTAAATTGCTAGGAAAATTCATCCACTTAAATTTAAACTACATTGATTTGCCAAATAGGAAAATTAAAACACAAACATTTTGGTGGGTTGTTTTTAGAAGAGGTCATTCCATCCAAACTGTAACAATTCTAGCTTTTAAGTGGAGATGATTGGATACTTTTTAATTGTCATGGAGTTAGACATTTCAGTACCATAATCAAACATGAAATTGACCTTGAGCTAGAACTATAAAGACAAACCCATTGTCTTCTGTTAGTTTCAATTTCCATTATTCTCTGTTGCACAGTGGAGTTTTATAACTTCTTGACAATTTCTGTTACTGATTTCCAGTCTTAGAAGAATGAGTCATTTCCTTCTAACTCAAAATCTTTACATTTGCTCTAGAAATATATCATTTATTGGATTTTAATATTTGCTCCCTTTTAATTAAGTAACTGGCAACCTGGGAGACAGGATCACATTCTGTGCTGCAGCACCATCATAACCCACGACAGGTTCTAATTAAGTTTCAATCAAAACTCTTTTCAGTCTAAAAATGTCTGCTTTACAAGTACATTTATGATAAAGGTGCTGATTGCAGAGCCATAGTCAACCCTGCAAACAGACTTTCATTATAAAGCTTTCCTAATTTCTCTCCTATCATTTTTTGATCACTTCTGCTCAAATGCAAAGCTAAAGTTGCCATTTAATTTTGATGGCGTGCCATAATTTTTTTATATCATAAAACACTCCACATTTTAGAAGCATATCATTAAATATTTATGTTTAATTTGAATAATGTGTTGCTGGAGCTTCCACACTTGTTCTCACTGCCCTCTTGTCCACTAGGGATGAACAAGCGCCCGTACCTTGGGAAGTCTGACTTGGCCATGGTGGTACACGCTCTGGTCACATCCCGCCTTGACTACTGCAACACTCTCTACGTGGGGCTGCCCTTAAAGACGGCCCGGAAGCTTCAGCTAGTCCAGCGCGCGGCAGCCATGTTACTAACAGGAGCGGGACGCAGGGAGCATACAACGCCCTTGCTGTTCCAGCTCCACTGGCTGCCGATTTGCTACCGGGCCCAATTTAAGGTGCTGGTGTTATCCTACAAAGCCCTAAACGGTTCCGGCCCAAAATACCTTTCGGACCGCATCTTGGCCTATGAGCCCACGAGGGCCTTGAGATCGTCTGGGGAGGCCCTTCTCTCGATCCCGCCTGCTTCACAGGCACGTCTGGCGGGGACGAGAGAAAGGGCCTTCTCGGTGGTGGCCCCCCGGCTGTGGAACGACCTCCCTGCTGACATCAGACAGGCGCCCTCCCTTCTGTCCTTCCGTAAGAGCCTGAAGACCTGGCTATTTGAGAAGGCATTCAACTGAGCGCTACGGCAACTGGTAATTGACAACTGGAACGGAATACGGATTACGATATTGGTTATGATTCTATGATGTGACGGAGCGGATTATTTAGTGTAACTAGATTATAGTGTATTATTGTTGTATTGATTTCCTGTTTTGCCCTTTTGTAAACTGTTTTTATATGTTGTGCACCGCCGCGAGTCGCCCTAGGGCTGAGAGCGGCGGTCAATAAATGCAGTAAATAAATAAATAAATAAATAGAAAGAGATTAGGAACTTCTCTTTTCCTTTCCTGCTTCTTTGCTCAGCCACTTATCCCCCAAAGTATTATGGACAGATTACATTATCTGGTTCAAGCAGGGTTCACTAAGTGACTGCCCTCTGTTATACAAAAAAGAAACTAACTCAGGCTGAACTTTCTCTCTCTCTACATCTTGTGGGTTTTATTTTATTATTTTTTTGAGCTGTGCCTCTCTGCTCCCTCCTCTCCCGAAGTTGGACATGTTGCAACATGCCTGTCTGCTATGTGTAGATTAGAAAGTATCAGGATATCCAATGCTAAGAATGCATTTCCTTAATAAAGACTTCTTCTGTTGAGGATTCTAAAC